TTGTTTATTATCCTTAGAGTTTTTATCAAAATGCTTTTTTTCCTTTCTTTTGCATATTCCAGGCTTGTACATTGTAAATTGCTATGGTGATTTGAGCATTAATGAAGTTACTAAATCACAAGGGCTGAAAGCCGTGCAATTGAAAGAATATTTACTCAGTGTGTTTAATTCTTTGTTTTTATGCACATGGATTTAATACCAAAACCTAATGAGACAAACATTTTTTATTAGTAATTCAGTTTCTTTTCCCTTGTTAAGGTATGTAGCCATTATTTTGAAAATTTGGATTTTACTGGAAATCCATAACTGCATTTAGGATGAAGTACAAAGTATTTATGTGGGGCAGGGAGGGAAGAGAAAAACAATTCTGAGCAGGGTATGGCTGAAGTAGTAGGATAACTTTTACATGGAAAAAAACCATTAAAACCAGAATACTTTAATATTAAAAGACAAACAAAAAATATTATCTATTGCCATGCAGTTCAGCAACTTTTGCCATCCAAAACCAAAAGCTTAGTTATTTTGTTATGTATCTTAAAAGGCTATTTGGCTAAGTTAAAAGAAACTGTAGTGAAGAATTACTTAGAAGCCAAACAATATGTCCTAAGTACACCATTTAATAAAATCCCACCTTTGTTTTTTATATAGTAAGTTAAAAAAATTAATTTTAGTGAGTGCAAAAAGTTTCTCTTAATTTACTTTTTTGGCCAAATTCACTTTTTGCCTAATCAAGTTGATTTCAGTAGGAAATATGACTACTTAAGGAAGGCTGAATTTGTGTCCAGATGGAAGAGGTAACCACAGGAAAGAACATGGAAAAGTTGGTGCTTTTACAGCCTTGTGCGTTTTGCAGATGTTCAGTTAGTACCAACTCTGATTCAGACCATCTCAAAGCAATAAACAGAACCAAGCAACATGAAAAGATGCACTCTGTCCTACACTGTAAGATTTAAAAGTTACTGGGAAAGGGAAGTGAAGTTTTGGACCAGTCTTACACAAATGGTGCATTCAGTATGCATATATAGCAGAAGGCAACAGAAAGTACTTGTTAACGTTGTTCTAGGTCTCTTCAGTGAACATAAGTTTATCAAAATCAAAATGTGATCTATTAAATAAGCAAGAGAAGTGATAAAGACATGTTCATGATCAGACCAGGTTGCTCACAGAGGTGGCAGTCTCCATCCTTCACGGTTTTCAAGCCTAAACTGAATGAAGTCCTAGGTGACCTGGTCTGGTCTCACAGATGACCCTGATTTGGGCAAAAGACTAGAGACCTCCTGAAGCCCTTTCCAGCCTGAATTATTCTGTGTTTCTATGATCCTTTTTTTAACCTTATTGTTTCTGGATTGAATGCATAGGATATGTCGAGGTCCAAAGGAATTAATATTGGTTTAGAATAGAAGAATAGAATAGAATAGAATAGAATAGAATATTTCAGTTGGAAGGGACCTACAATGATCATCTGGTCCAACTGCCTGACTACTTCAGGGCTGACCAGAAGTGAGAGCATGTTATGAAGGGTATTGCCCAAACGCCTCTTACACACTGAGAAGCATGCGCCATCAACCAGCTCTCTAGGAAGCCTGTTCCAGTGTTCGAGCACCCTCTCAGTAAAAAAATGTTTCCTAGTGTCAGGTCTGAACCTCCCCTGATGCAGCTTTGAGCCATTCCCAGGTGTCCCGGCACTGGATACCAGAGAGAAGAGATCAGCACCTCCCTCTCCACATCCCCTCCTTGGGAAGCTGTAGAGAGCAGTGAGGTCGCCAAACTCAACAAACCCAGAGTCCTCAGCCGCTCCTCACAGGACATGCATTCCAGTCCTTCCACCAGCTTGGTTGCCTCCTCTGGGCACATTCAAGGACCTGAACATCCTTCTTAAATTGTGGGTCCGAGAACTGCACACAGTTTGAATCAGTGTTTACTTGTCATAACTAATACTCAACCTAGAAAAGGCAGGAATCTCCAAGCTTTTGGGTTTTTTTTTTTCCATTCTACTTCAGATACAATGTCATTTCAGTCTCTTGAATTATTTTGATTTGATTGTCTCCTTTGCAGACCTCAGTAGTTTGTAACTACATCTACTGTGCAAGTGCTCTTTAAAAATGACCATAGACTCCCTAGTTAAGATTCATAAATAGTCCAAAATATTTCCCAGAGTAGTCTTTAAAAATTATTTATGGATGCTTTAGAAATGATGGTTTAAGTCTAAATATATTCCCAGCCCTCACCCAAAAGAGGAATTAAAAAGTTATCAAGAATCTGAAGACAAAGAAGACAGAGGTCCAAATGGATTTATACTCGGATTTTAAAAGATTCACAAGAGTTTTGGTATTTATATTAGTATACAATAAATAATAATAATCTTATGAAAGGAGCAATTATTCCCTCTTCTGGAGACATGTATTAGAACAGGAGATTTAGTGAGACATGTACATCCAGACCAAATCGGCTTTGTTGGAAGCAAAGATATTGCAGTTGTATCGGGAGAAGTCTTGATCTTGTTTTCCCTTGTTGGTGACTTTTGTCCCTAACTGAACAGAATTGGAGGTCTGTAAGTGTAGTGCAATAGAAAATGGCTTTGATGGTATTCCATTCTACTTAGACATCAGATTACATAGATCAGAGCGTTGCACAAAAAGTGGGCTTCTCAAAAACATGTTGGATAAAAGATGCATCCAGGCAAAAATAGCTTAATATAACTCTCTTTCAGGCTAATCTTGAGATACCCATGTAAAATGCGAATTTCCTTTTCTGCATTTCTCAAGTTCTCATTGGAACCTGCCAACCACATAATCCTGTTTAAATCAGAGCAATTATCACCAAATTAGGCTTACTCTTTTTGAAAGAGAACATACCACTAGACATTGTAATTTCCACATGAAAGTTCCTCTTTTCCATCAACTTTATGATAGAAAAATATGCATTGATCTCAGTATAGCTTGGATGAAGACAAAAAGCTATTTCTAGTCATGTTCAGTGTTATTTCAGAAAGCTGATTCTTCCCTTAGCAGGAGATCACACAAAAATTTGTAATTTTTCGAAGTCTGGACTAGAAGTCTGTTTCTGCTTACTACATTCATACACTACGTGGCATAGTGACAAACTGGTTTTCATCCATTTTTTTCCTTCCCTTAAACAAGTACATGTTAGAACTCGTTTTGTATCATCGCTTGTAAGGTCTTTTCCATGCTAGCTTATACCTCCTTTATGATACAGATATTCTCTGTATTTAGTGCATCCTCCCCCTCAAAGGTCCATGTGTGATGCCACTCACACACACTCTGATCTCTCTGAGATTTTTCTACAGTGTGAACTGCAAATAGAATTTGTCTGCAAAGTACAGATGATTTGCAGGGCTCTCCTATTGTGTCATACTTCATACTTCACATACTTCAGCTTGTTCACTGAAAGAAGATAGAAGGATCAGAGACAGAACTGCACATACTTTGAAGACGGAGCCAGACCTCCAGCTAGCTATTTTGCAGTGAATGTCAGAGCTGGAATACTGAGTCTTTGCTATTCTTAATGGAACTGTATTTGGTTAGACCACAGGACTGTTGTATTTAAAACCGGGTAGTTAGAAAGCTGACGGAGATACCATATGTGGTCTAGAGTATGCTAGGTTTTATTTCTTTGTTTATAGATAAGATGCTTCATTTTTTAATTTGGCATCTGTTTTCCACAGTAATACACTCAGGAATGCTTTGTTATTACACCAGTTTTTATATTTCAGAGCAGAAGATGGTTGTTTTTAAGGGCTAAGTGAGGGAGACAAGAAATTAGTATTTGAAAATATTCAGTGACCTTTGTCCTCTCCATAAAACCAAGCAAAATTAAAACCATTGTTTAAAAATAAAAGAAACATAAACAACTACTAGATAGTACCCTTCTTCCACCAATTCTTCAAGAACTGATGTTTTAGAAAATTTTTTGCAGTTTTTTCTTTAGCAAGTTACTTATGGGTCTATCAATTGCTGTAAACTCATAAAAAAGACGGGAATAATAAGGATCATTATGCTTCCATCTGTGTTAGATGACACAAAACAGCATTAAATCCCTACATTCTGCCATTTGAATAGTCTATTGCATTGAAATGGCTATTAAAACTCTTTGTTACATCTCTTCTGCCATCTTCCTTTGAACTCTGGTGGTTTTGATGCTATTGATCAGTATATCATCATTATTTTTTGTATGCATACCTCCCTAGGCTTGTTTATATGGATTCCTACAAAACTGAACTATGAAACCACATCTGCTTTCTCTTAAGAAATTATACTTGCTAGTATAATTATACAGAACTCAAATGTATGTCTATTATAACAAAGAAACATAAATCTGATAAACCAAGATTTTTAGGAGTTTTTACAAAAATGTTTGTGTTTTGCTCTGTTTAGTAATGATGCTTCATTTTTGAAGGAAATACTAAATGTTTACTTGCAACTACATTTCAGGGTGGTAGTACTTCAGGAGTTAAAACCACTGATTTTCTGTGAACTTATTCTTTGACCTCTGTCAAATCTGGTTGGAATAGGATGTACATGTCAAAAAGTTTGAGGTGAGAGAGAGTCCAATTGCATAAAGAAATTGGACTAAAGGTAGGTTCAAATCAGCTCAGTACAGCCCACATTCTGCCTTATTGCCGGAGTAGTAATAGGAAATGGAAGAGCACTCATAGTGGTTCTGTATTTAATGTTAGCATACTGGAACATGAGGAAGCACTGCAGAATGTGTGACTACCATTTACGTTTTTGAGGAGTAAAATATGTATCAGTATAAAATGATAAACTGTCACTTCTTTTAAGTCATGTCCTTCACTGCCAAGAGAAATTTTGGCTTGCTTGTATATTAATGGCTGATTTTAAAATTTTTTCCCACCGAGACTACAGAGTCAACTACTTGTTGTACTTCACAAATGCTCTTAAAAGAAAACAATATGGAGAGAACTTGCCAGCGACCTTGTTTTTATTTAGAAGCACATTAAAAAAAAAGTTATGCCACAGCTTTGGTTGACTGGAATGATACGCGTACTTAAATTTTAACAGTATTTTTTTAAAACAGTAAACAAGTGTACATTCAGTTGTGTGCAAGACCAACACTGTCAATAACACAATTACACTACAGAAAATGAAATGTTTTAAGTATATAGCTGTGAAACCCTTCATATTTTTGGTATTTAACCAGTATTTTTAGAATTAGTCTGCTGAAGCCATTTCATGTGTGGTAAACACTGAAAACAGACCCTGTGGCAAAGTACATGTAATTATAGTTGCACTGGCTCTGGAGACGAGTAAGAGCCCCACTTAAAAGTATTTGTTGGAAGCTATATCTTCTGCAACTTAAATGTGAAAGGAATTATCTAACTTGTAGCTTATGAAGTCAGTTATTAATAATCAGCCACTTGAACTTATAAAAGTGGACAATATTTTCATACACTTGGGATAATTATAATTCAATAATTTCATGCCACAGATAAAAATCACAAGAACTGCTGAGACTGGATGATTACTCTACATAACGCAATACCTCAAAGTGCCACTGACTTACTAATGCTTCTCACAGCTCTTATAAAATCTTTAGGGGTTTTTATTGTGGTTTTTTTTTTTGTTTGTTTGTTTGTTTTTTATGAGAGCTGTTGTCAACCACCTAGATTGGAAGGAGAGGTATGAAAATTCCCAGGCCATGATGAATCCTGAGTATTTTGCAATAGTAAGCAGTGAGTTCTGGTAGACCACAGCCTCTCTCTACTCTGAAGGGATGGTAACAAAGCATAGATGGAATATTTACAATTTTAGGATAAACTTACTAGCAGACCAGCTGTAACCACTTCTCCTTTTATTAAAACCTGCTTTTTAATATCACCTTTTTGTAGAAACATATGGCAAAGCAAATAAAACTGTCTTTTTAGTAAACAAAAGAAGTTTTTGATACAAACATACAAAAGACAGTTTTATCCACTGGATGATATACAGGTACCCGTATACAACCATGTATACTAAACAACAAAAGAGAAGGTGTATTTGAATGTTACAGGTCTGATGTAAACACAGAATAAAAATGAGAGTTAAGTGACAATACATTAACTCACTCCATCATGCCTAATTATTGCAGCATATATGATTAATTCAAATGCAGAAAACATCTGCTTATATTCAAAACCAGGCAAAAGAGATCTCTTTGGAAATGTACTTAAATTAAAAAAAAAAAAGCTTTTAGCCAAGACATGTGTTACATTTCATCCCACAAAAGAAATTCACAGGAAGATTATAAACTCCTGAAAATAGAAGTTTATAATGACAACAGACAATGCCTTCATTACAGTGACAGCAACAGAGCCACTGTAACACATACCACTGCATTGGTATTTTCTTTTTGTACAAGTTTACAGTAAAAATTCGAAGACACTGAAAAGGTTCATGTGCAGCTTTTCTAATAAAGGTGTGCAGTTCATCAAACTGATAAATATTTCCTGAAATATTTTAGAAAATGAGAAGAAACATTTAGCCTAAATTTGTAGCGTGCACACTAGTTAACCACATATAAACTAGATTCTGAAGTGCACTATGAACTGCAGACATGAATGGCTTCTGAAAGCTCAGTAATTTAGTTGAACATACACTGAAGAATTTTTGAAGAAATTGCTTCCAGTTTTGTCTGATCAACTTCATTTCTTCTCAGAAAGAGTTTCACCACTGAGTTCTACATCTAGCGAGGTCTCTTCAAGAGATACCTTGACATTAGATACACAAACAGAAGATCCAGGGGTGGCTGCACAGATAAAGAAAAAAAGTATTAGGTTTTACACTTAAGAATATCCATGCTGAAAAGTATCAAAAGCAAGAAAAATGAAAGCTACCTAGCACAGAAACACACACAAAGCTACATTTTTATCTAATGAGATCAGAAATGCAATGGGATTTTGTTCTAGAGGCCCCCAAAACAGCACAGCTATCCAAAAGCAGACAGTGTATCTTGATAACAGTTCAGGCTGAATATACTAAGGACTGAATGTATAGAATCATAGAATCATTTAGGTTGGAAAAGACCTTTAAGATCATTAAGTCCAACCATCATGTTACTGGAAGCTTTAGTCAGAACCTAGCCACAGAGCTCTGTGGAGGATGTTTAGAAAACATCTTAGAAATTCTACCACAAATAAATTTCCTTTGCTTTTCTTACTTGGAAATAGCTGGAAATATTGTTACACTTAAAAACAAATTTTCAAGCCACAGAAATTCTTTCCAACACTTCGGAGGACAGGAGAAAGTAACTATTAGCACAGCTTTACTGCTAAAACTATTTGTGCAAAGCTATTGAGTTCTTACTGACCCGTAAAATGATCCCACTTACATAGACAGGGTATGTTAATAAATGCCCTAAGAAATTACGTAATATACAAGAAAGAATCCTACTGCTGGAAATAATGTAATGAAGTTAGCCATTCTGCCTCTGACAGAATTTACTTACGTAAGGTTGGTTTCTCTATTGCTAGCCTTTCAGGCAAAGTTTCAAGTGGTGTTGGTTGAATTTTTGCAGGTGTATATGTATTTAAAGGAATTTTTCTTCCTGATAGTGGAATCATATAAGTTGGAGAAGCTGAAATGGGGGAAAAAAGAAAGGATACACATCATTAACAATAAAAATACTCTTACGTGAACGAAGTGTCAAAAATAGTAGCCACAGAACTGTGTATCTGTCCAGCAATATAGGTACCAAAGTTACACAACCTGCAGCTCAGCTACTGATTTCTGACTCTAGTGTCAAAACTTCAAAGCATGAAAGACAAATCTAAAAATTTCCTTTTGACCTCAGAAAGTGACACAGTAACTTCATGCTGCTACAGCAGCTAAGCCAAATTTCAGTAACAGCTGCCTTGCCAGAAGACTGGCAAAAGCATTAGTGCTACTTCTCATAAGTTATGAAGATTGCACTGGAATAGGCGTTTTGTCCAAAATGCCTATGGAAAGTGCTACAACAGATTATCCTCTAGACAGCTTCCAAATGTTACAGGAAAGTAGAAAGAGAACGAAGCACCTATAGCCTCAATTCTATCAGGTCTAATTTCCAACCACTCCTTTGCACCAGACCACCACAGAAGTATGACAGTTTTTTAAAAATATTTTTTTCATCTTGCGTATTACAAATTCTGAACTGATTTGAAGAGACGTGAACTTTCTAACCAGTGTAACACAGCATTTTAAATAGCTAAGAACTTTAAAATACCTGTAAGCCTTCCTGAGTTCTTTTTCAGTTAACATAGTTTTCTTAAATTACTTATCTTCCTTCTTGGATATAACAGGCCTACCCTATCAGATTAGCTGCTGATTAAAATCTGAACTGTATAAAACTAAAATGCCAGAAAAAAAAAGAAAAATCCTGTAACAGAAAAAAAGGAAAAATCCCAACATCTAGGTAGCCTTTGTACCAGTACTAGCAAGTACAAATTTTCTGATCAAAGCATGAGTCTTTAGAGATTTCCCGAGAAGAATGATCTCCAATTACCTGACACATGAATTATAAGCATCCTAATATGTGGTAGGTCTGGCCTAATTGAAACAGTTTCCATAGACACAGCAGTAGAGTCACAATGGGAAGTCATTTTCCCAGACACAGGCACATGGATAGAACTCAGTTTGCATTTCATTTCAAGATCACTTAAACATGCAGCACAAACTACTGAACAACTAAGTAACTGCAAGGCACTCCACAGGTGAAACCCCAAGTAATATTGAAAGACACAGGAAATATCACAGTTTTAAGATGTAAAAGGCTTCTAAGAGGCAACATTACTCTGCTGAGGTTACTGCCAGTACAAAAGTACAGTATAAAGCTGGAAATACTCCATGCTCACTAAAAAACATTCCTTGTAATTCAGCTAACAGTGTGGACAGCACAGAGAAGTTCTTATTGTGAAGAAATAAACCAATTATGATTTCATTAAATCCTTAATTTACCACCCCAGTCACCAGAGACATTACTTCAGTGAATTAGGATGGTGTTCATACTGCAAGAGGATACTGCAAAAATTAAAGTTATGCTTTATGTCCATATTTCATTTTTTAAAGCAATTTTTTTTAGTTTACTTGTTAGCTGTAAAATACCTGAAAAATTAATTTAAAATTAAAATAATTACAAACTAAAATCAATACATGTCTCCTGCAGATGTTCCCTTGATGGAGCAGCCACAGAGGCAAGAAATTCATCCACCTGCTTCAGAGACAAGGAGTTGTGTAGAGTTTCCAAAGGGCAAATAGAAGGCACCATGGAATATAGTTCAAAACCTGAAACAGAAATAATAAAAAAAAAGAGATTTCCAAACATAAGACAGGATTTCAGCTATTGCAGGGGTAAGTATTAATGCATGATAAAAAGTACTTATTTTAATTCAGCTCATGCAGACAGTGCTCTTGAAATCATGGACACTAAATATTAAAGGAGTTGGAACAAGATGTGCCAATTTCCAGGATGTACCATTTAACATACCATGGGATATAAATCCCACGTACACATAAAGTGGTCTTCAAACATTACAACTGTGCTCTACTCCCAAATCAGTTCACAAAAGATAACTTTCCTCTAAGACAAACTTAGTAAATCACTAAAAAAAAAAAAATAAAAATCAGGAAATGGTAGTATTTCTCCTACTCATTCTCATACCTGGCACAACCCTAAGCAGATAACTCATTCATGCAAGTAAAATAGTATAGCTATGTTGTCAACTGCTAGCAGACAAGAGCTAAAAATGCTGTAACTTCCAAGAAATTTGCAGAATTCACATTCTATCATCTTCAGTATTCTGTGAAAACAAACTTGCCTTAAGTATCAAGGAAAACCACTGTTAGAGCTTTTGCACCTTCACGTTATATGTTTTAACTTTGTAAGACAGGTTTACATGTACCTTTATGCATTTAAAAACAGTACTTTGATACTAGAAGTTTCATATATTAGAACAGGTAAGTATAGCAACCCAAAATCTAAAAATGTATTGGACTTTGCTTTTCTACATTAATATTGATGATACACCAACCATGCATATCCATGTTACTAACATACTAAAAAGCATTTAAACATCTTGGCAAAAAAAAAAAAAAATTGCAGTTCCCTGAAGTGATGCAAGTTTGATAACTCAATGAACAGCTCTTCATCCAATTGCATTTCACAAGAGGAAAATATGTCCATTAGTCTTTTCAACATACAGCTGTAACATTACAACTTTGTAATTCAATACTGTAAATTTACAGTTGCTACATTTCTTTCAATATATTTAAATGAAGAAACAATAGTGAATGAAATAATGTTTAGAATTTCAGTTCAAGGTACATTTATTAGAGATAGGGTTATCACTGTGAACTGTGCCCTCCCCTAAAATAGTAAGTATCAATATTCCTGTGATACCCAGTGTTCCCCATTCACTCCCCATTTAGTGCTTTGCATAGAGAAGTAACAACAAAATTTCAATCCCCAAATGTCTGTATTTATATTTGGATCCACATTGGCCATACTCAAATTTGAGGGACAGTCGCTTCAAATATACAATCAACTGAAGTGTACTTATGTCAGCTTCACTTATATTACACACAAAATGTTGCATTTCACGGAAACTTGGTTTTCATGTACAAAAGAAACACCACCACAGAATTCATTTCTATTTTCCTATAAAGGCAGTAGCTAAGCTTCAGTGTAAGCACTAAGATGTTTGGCATACGTATTAATATCCTAAATAACTATGCATGCATGCAAAGCGCAAACCCTTTCTTTGCATTACAGTAAAGTGTAAGACTTATCTCTTTACCTTGACAAAAAAGTCACTATCACTTGAATGAGAATTTATTTTTAAATTTTGCAAAGAACATAGTGGGACAATGTCAGGTTAGCTTTTTAATAACTATTACTGTTATAGTGCAGTGTTACAGAAAACCAGAAAGGAATTTCAAAATATACCCACGCTCTTTAAAAAAATAAAAGAAAAAAGTTTTCTTCTTTCAGGAATCTCCCCTCCCTGGGTTTTTGTTCAGTTTTGACAGTTCTGCTAGCAGACAGCCATATCCCAGCGTGGTGTTGTAGCATCTTTGTGTCTAAGGGATATGATTTAAAAAGATATTCTGGAAATCCATCTGCAGTGTTTTATTTGAATATTTTATGATAAATATTTTATGATGATATGAGAAATAAAGTTGGATTTTAATGATGAAGAAGCCTGACAGTATCCCTTTAAAAAAGCCATTTCCTGTAAACTAACAGCCTTTGAGGTTTGGCTATATTTGTTCTTAAAGCACTGTCCCCCATCAAAAGGCAAGACAATGAAAGGGTTAACGCAGCATCTCAAAAAGCCACCCTGCTGTCTTATATTTAAAAGCTATAGAGACATACCACTGGAGCCTAGAAATTCCACAGAGGAAATGGACCAGCACCTAAAGAGGTGTGGGTGTTCTGCACAGAGGCCCAGAAAATAAGGTAAAGCACTGTCAGAAGATACTTGTTTCACCATGTTCCTTGAACTAAAGATGGGGGGGGTAGTCTGAAATGAGTTAAGAGGGTGTGATAACAACGTAAAAACAAGAAAACACAGAGTGAAAGGGACAAGGAGAATCAAAATGATAGTCCAGAGGACAGACAAAACAACATCAGTATGTTCTTAGGTTAGTAGAAAACCCTTGGAAACCTGCAATATGCTTTGGTTTCGTAGGAGCTCATACAGCATGCATTAATCTTGTAAAAGATGTGTGGTAAAACTGCTGTATTAAATGAATCAGAACAATCAACGCATTCATTAAAAGCAATTTAGATCCTTTTTTAAAGAATGCAGTCACAAAAAGGTAGTGCTAAATGGAACAGATAGTAATCATATTATTAGACACTGATAGTCAAATGCAGTTCTTACTTTCTGACCTTATATGTTTTGGAAATACTTGGTTTGAGTCTAAAGACAAAAAATGGACTCCTAACTTTCCTATTTGAAATAGGACACTAGAATTGGCCTTTAGATCAAACACAGTGTTAATGGTGTTAATTCAGTCTTACTATAGCAGTTTTCCTTCAAGAAGCACTGCAGTGCAAAAAGTCACTATGGATTCCAAATTAATATAATAAACAACTACTTTGCTTTCCAGCAAAGCCAAACAAAAACTCAGTCCTTTTTTTTAACCTTGTTTCTAAGCAAATACATTTTGAATCTAAGAAAAATACTGATGATTTCCACTGCAGTTTCAATATTACCATCACTGTACTCAGCCAGCACATTTTAAAAACTGCAATTAAGAAATCCGGAAAAGCTACATTAAGACCCACTGGATGCTCAAGACCGAGTCTGGTTTTCATGAACAGGATACGTTTTGGGCCTCATGTAGAAAAGTAGGCACTAAATATTTTGCTGAGGAAGAGAAAGACATACCTCTGTCCCGTGTGTTAAACCAGACTTTTTTTGTAACTACGGTAGACTGAAGACAAGCTAAATCTCACTTTTGAAGCTCAAAAGGTCAATGTAAGCAATGGGCAGCTCTCTTGCTGTGATTTTTAGTGCAATATTTAAGTAATCTGCACATCTGATGAACAGGGAAGTATGATAAGGTAAAAATAAATTTTCATCTGATGATGAATACAGCAATTTAGCGGGAATAGAACCAAAGCTTCTGCTTTAGTTTTTTTAATTTAGCATCACCTCAAGAAGATAGTCATAAACTCCAGTTGTCAATTCAGTGATTTATATTTGAATCAGGAGGCTCAGGGAAACAGCTCAGCAGGAGAAAGACAAAGAAGAAGCAGCAGCTATCAAGAAGTGTATGCCCAATAAAGATCAGATTTAATTCTGTTTTTATCTTGTACCATACAGTCTGATCACACAAGAAATTGAGAAGAAAAATTTATTACAAAGATCATGATTAACAGTAGCACTTAAATTTTTTCAAGGATTTTTCTAAGGAATGACTTTTGATGTTGTATTTATACTAATGAATGGTAAAGAAGGGATTTAGGGTATCTAATGATTACAAATATATTTGGAGTTGTGCTTGAAGTTAGGAACGACAGACGGCTGGATGATACTGTACACCCCATAATTGAAATAAAAATAAAAGGGATGAAGCAAGGAACCTTTTGTTTTCGTTTTTGTTTTTAAAATAAAAGCAAAACGTACCATTGGTTGGGTGTCGAGCAAATGAGATAGAAAACCTTTTAACAGCAGAACCGCGTGTGGTGTCTGAGAAAGAGAAAAACAGGTACCTGAAATTTGTAACAGCTACCAAAAGAGGGACATTTTAAAAAAGGAAAAGAAGAAGAAAGAAAAAAGGAAAAGATGAGAAGGTATTAGAACTGAGTGGCATGCAGAAGGGACCAAGGAAAAGGGCTAAAATCGAAATAGAGGTTAAAAAGAAGAAATTTGGATTGTTGGTAACTACAAGATGTGTAATGAAGTGTATGAAAACAAGCAGAATGAGCTGGTGATTCTGGCATACAAGGTTATATCAGGTTAGAGTCAACACTGAGTAGTGAATTGGGGGAAACCAGCATGAATACTGTTTCGCCTCAGAGTTATAAAGGTGTGTTTTGGCATCTTTACATTCTAAAATCTAGTGAGAGAGTTTCTTCTCTACCCCAGATTATCCAAACCTGAAAATCTCCTGCTCCTCTGTAATCCAACCCCACCAAAAAAAGGTCAGGAATCCTAAAATTTTCACCGTCAGTATTCAAGTTATTAGTTTATAATTTCTTTCATTCCTTGTATATGCTCCAAGTAATTTATTTCATTTCAAGATCAATAAGTAATGATAAAACCCGAAGTTTAAAACGAGAAATTTCAAAACCAAAATTTTAGTTTACTTTAAAAATGCACTTGCTGGAATTTCCTGGCACGTATTACAAGTCTGTGAGCTAGTGTTCAATTCAAGACAGAAAAAAGAATTAACTATGCTATTAAGTTCAACATAAGCAAGCTACGGGCAATAAAGAAGCAACAGAAACTCATACAATTAATACTAAGGCAAAGGATTCTAGGATTCCATTAAAATCAGTAACCTAGGATGTGACTTTAGAACTAGTTTAATGTGGCACATGGGTTTGTGCGTGCATGTGCGAGAGTGTGCACATACCATCTATGAAGCCAGAAGAAGTCAGCTTTTTACGATGAGTACGAGCATAATCCTGTAGGTTAGGTGCACTTGAAGAACCCCCGAGCACTGAGGTGCTAAACAGGCCCGCACAGTGAGACCCTGATGGGAGTTAGAGAAAATACATACAACAACCAGGTGTTCGTCCATTCACATTGGGGATGCATGCAGCATGCAAGCACATGGCTCTTACCACACAAAAGGCAGCTTTTGGCAGTGCCTTGGACAGGTTCACAATATGCTTGTAATGTCAGAGTGGTACTTGTAGGCTGAAACTAGCATAATTTATTGCGCTTCTACTCATGACACAGCACCCTCTGCTATATGTGCAAAGAGAGGACTGGCTTTAACAAAGTGAGTTCTTGTCCTGTTTTCACTTTTGGTAAAGAAAAGTTACCAGTTAGCATCAATGTAAACATAACCAAAACAACAAAACAAAATCAAAATGATGATGATGTGAAAGTTGTGTGTTTTAAGACCTGCAGTTCTGAAACAAATATAAACTGGGAAAATACTGCTCATTGCTTTCATCCAAATCAACCTTTGAGATGACAGGCTGCAATGAAGTACTCATGCATTTCCACAGACTTAATATGGAATTATTTCCCTTCTAACCCCAACAAAATGTTAACCGAATTGGAAACACTGTTCATATTTCAGCTACAATCACTGATAATGTTAAAAACTGAAACTACCTAAAAGTTCCACCAAGTTTAGCTTGACTTCCTTTCCTGAGAAGATTTTTGTACATCTCCATGCAAGTGAGAGAGTACTTCTGTTACAACTCATACAATTCCTGCCACTAGGATGGGAGCTTTAACAAATCACTGAAAGCCACAGACAGAAATATAAAAAGAAGTTTTATAATCATCAACCATAAATGAAATTTACATACAATGAACAAAATGGAAAAAAAATGTTGCCATTTTTTTCCTTTAGTTTTTACTACTAGTTGAAAGGAGACATGATTTTTCACTCAGAACTTATCTTTTACATTTTAGAAAAGTAGCAGCAGATTTTTTTTTAAAACCAGCTATCTATCCAGTCATACTTCCTTTCATTACTTTTAATGACCCAGTGAGGGGAAACATTACTAGCACATGTGACCAATCACAGCCAAAATAAATTGGTGCCAGGTCTGTGGCAAAAGCCTTTCACACCAAATGTAATACCTTAATCTACACACAGAAATACATCAACTTCCACAAGCCATATTGTGTCACACATTGGCAAAAGAAAAGTTGTTTAACTAGCAAGCACACAATAAAAAACATGACTTTGATAAACAAGAGCACCTGATGTATGCATTTTTCTAAGGGAAAAATATAATAAGAAGAAAAGTATCACAGAAAGATTAGACATACAAAAAATACAGATCTTTACAAAGAAAGGAAAAGCTACTTCTAAGTTTATGCATACAGCTTATGCATTTTCTACACTTCGTTCTTCCCATGAAAAGACACATTTACAGAAAAAAATGCAATATTGGTTTACAGGAGTACAAGATTTCATATTTTTGCATATCAGTCATACGTATGCCGTTTCAAAGAAGCAACAGAAAAGCACCACTTGAATGAAAAGAATTTGAAACAACTCATTGAATTATATCATGATTCATTCTAATGCTGAAAGGAAGAAATTGATTTTAGGAGAGGCAATGTGTGCAAAACCCCTGATAATATCAAGAAAATTGAGGTTTGTTCCCCATCCCCCTCCCCTCAGTAAAACACCTTCAATTCCATCAATTGCCCACGGTAGGAAACATTAATTTTCAAGAAAAGTGTTTTAACAGTTTCCAGTGCAGGCCATTTTGGTCCAAAAGACTCTTACAAAACACAAAAGCTCAGTCATGAACTACATTATCTTAAAAGCCTACTTTATGTTAAAAATAATCCTGTGTACCTGTGGCAAGCAGTACAGAGTCAGCAGTGTGAACAGTCTCAAACAATTTGTTCATTTATAATTTATTGAAAAACTTTTGCTGTGGGAAAATTATCCAATTCATAGGCAGACACTTAGCACATATTATTGATAACAGGGATTATTGGATCCTCTTAACATAAAAGCTGTTCGAAGAATGTACAACTGTACAGAACAACAGGAAGATGAAAAGCTGCTAACACCAAAAAAAATTTCAATTGTAGGCACATACCTAGACCACTCTGCTTTTGTTCCAGAATAGTTCTTGGTGTTCGTAAGTTACTATTGCTTTCTGATAGGACCTGGATATAAAAAACAGAAAAATAAGGGAAAGTAGAACAGCAGCATGAAATGTCCATTTAACTTGATACAGCAGCCTGTTTCAGACAGACGAGTGTTAATAAGCTGTATGATAAGTGTTAGTAAAAATATGTAAAGGAAACATGAAAGATCATGCAATATCCCCTTCTGAAGGGAGTCCATTTCACATATGAGTTCCTTGCAATGAAGTGGTGCAAAGCAAGCATTCAGAATGAGGAAGGACACAGACCAAGACAGATATGAGAACAGATATTTGAGACATTTTATTTCATTTTACCAAATGAACTCTCCTAAACTGCGCCTGTATTGAAAAAAGGAGGGGAGGGAAGGAAAGACAGACAAGCTATTGAGGACACCATACAATCACTGATCCATGCACGGGCTCAATCAGTGTAATCTTCAGATGCTCACAGCCTGTACTGATATAAGCTTTTCCTATATAAATAGTTTTAGAATTTTCCACCATAAAAAGGAATTATGAAAATTTTCAAAGAAAAAGGATATGGTTAACAGAACACCATCCATTGTCATACATGTAAACAATATCTCGACATGCTAAACCATCTTTAGATCCCACTGGTACTTCAAAAAAATTTACTGGTTTTTTTTTTTTTTCCTGCCTTTCCCCCCGATATTTAGAAAATCTTCAAAATATTGTACAAGTCAATGGATGATGTACTGTGTTGGGAGTTTCAGATACCTCCGGATACAGAAGGCAAGAATTATTAGTGCTAGAGTTTGTTCCCTGCAATAGTTAATACCAGGCCACTGAAAATATGATATATGCAAAACAAGTTTTGAATAGCAATATGAAGTACCAAATATATTATTTTTAATTAAATTGGTTGCAATTATTAAAAAAAAGTTTTTCAATTTACCTACCACCAAATTAAGCAATGCTGTTTTTAAAGTCTTAAAGGACAACTAAACCAAAGCAGAAATCTGTTTCATTGGGCAGTAGACTCAGCCTTTTTTACTGTGGTAACATTTGCAATTCCTATAAAGAAACCAAATTTTTAGGAAAATGTGTAACACATTCAGTGAAAAAACATGCACTTGCTCTTTTTCCCCCAAACATTCTCGGGAAGTAATTTTAAGAAGTGGAAGAATTTGCTTCAAACATAATCCGTAACAAGGGATTAGATGTCCTTAAAGACAGTTGGTTGTTGCTTGGAATGCATAATAATGTTTAATGAAGTAAAGTTTAAAAACCTGTTGCCATGAGCCAAAAATACTGGATGTGAAAGCCAATGATTTAGGGGAGACAGGGGAAGAAGTGATTTGTTCCCCTGATCTGCGTCTTCGACGCCCAGTACCCACACCACTGGTGTAATGCAGCCAGGTACCAATACACTCTGGGCTAGACACACTCAGGGGGCTCTCTTCCTGGAAGTGAGAAAGGGGGCAAAAAACAGCAAAGCATGCAAAGTTAGATTCAACAGAGCCAAATGAACAGAAAAGAAAAAAACCCAATCTGCTTGCACCCTTTTTTGTCACTGCTTTTAAAACTATTAAACAGCAAATAGGGAAGAGTAATATTAGGAAGTTATCAGTTCCACTTGTATCTTTTAATCCAATTATATCTTTTAATACAACACTTTAATAAAATTTCTGGTAGACTTATTTAGATAGGAAAGAAAAGTAATTGTTATCAATAATTGATTAATAATTTTAAGAATTTCCACATATTGGAAACAGAACATCTGTTATCCTTGACATACTGTTTAATAGTTTTCCCCCTCTAAGTATATTAAACTTTCCTATTTATTACTCAGTAATTTTCATTTCTAGTCTATAACCTCATCTAAAAGATTCTCATCTTTAGAATCGCCTTTGAGACTTTGCAGCTGACTCACTGGTATTAGCAACAACCTGACTGGTAGTAGTTTTCCAACCTTAAAAAAGGCCTAAAAACTAACTGATGCTGGACACCTATTAAGACTTCAAGAGAGGACAGTGTCAGGCTAAGAGTGCCCCATGCCCTACATCATTATGTATCATTAGCAATCATATTTTTAGTAATAGAGAACTGGATTTCCAATGAGTCTTACTTTCTTGTTTTACTGCTAGAACGCTGCTTTTTTTTAATTTTCATGACTCAATCACAGTTGCAATCCTTCTGTAAATATTGCTGATTATCCCCCAGATTAAAACTTCCATATAATCTCACACCTGACAGTGTCCTTTCAAATTAATGGACATAGGTGAAGAGAGAATTGCCTTATAGGAAAAAAAAAAAAAAAAAGGTTCAAGGCAGTTGCAGTTTAAGTTGCAATGACTTTTTTTAAGTGCTTGAAAATATCACTTGGTTTAAATATTCCAAATATTGGTTTTGCAATTTCAGTAGGCCAGATGAAATTTCCAATTTTACGTTTTCAAAAAAGTTTCATAGTGATGTTTTCTTTAAATCAGCTATTTTCCAGCAAATAAACAAGCACTGAATGCTGAAACACGTTCCATCGGAATGTGTATTATCTGCACAGTCAGAATTTAGCAATTTATGTTATTGATACCTTTTGAAAGTAACTTCTACGTAATTTACGAAAATGAAAATAGTTAGAAGTTTGAAGTAATAGACTGTTAAGTTGTGTGTATGTGAACTCATAACTAGGAGGGGAGTTTGCATGATCATAGTGAAAACAGCTTTTAAAAATCCAAAATATTGATGTTGTGAGCATTTGTTTATGATAAAACTTGGAAATAGAAAATGTAAGACATTCACATTTATTATCTCTGTTAATTTATGGAAGTCATGTGAAGTTATACAGATATCCTTATAGAAGGGAACCATGCATCTTTGCTCTCCACACTATCAATAACCAAGTTACTTGCAAATCTGTAATACTTTCATTGCATACAAACAGCCCATTCCCAACACAAACACGAAAGGAAAAGCTTTTGGTGTGAATCTTCATTTCTGATGGATTTAAGCAACTGAAAATGAGGCAATAAGAAGCTGTTAGTCTGCTTCTAGCATTAATATCACAGAAGTGCCACTATGCACCATCTGAAGCTTTGCCACTCAACTGTACCAATGGTATCAGTGATACTGCCATGCATCCCCCCAATCTCTGTGACATTAAAGCTATATCTGTGAAGTACACCTAGATGTCATGGCCTTCAAGACAGGAGACTAGACTGTTCAAGATGTTACCTAAAGAATTAATGAAACACAAACCCCACCCACTTAAAAAAAAAAAGCTTCCAGTTTATTTTCTTACCTTCAAATGCTTGACAAGTGGAGTCACTTTCACCCCACGTGAAAGCAAATACAGCAGAAGGCATGTCTCTCACCTCCTGTACCTCCCCTACCGCCCCCAATCCCTCTGTTCCCTCTCAGAATGATCACCCTGAGGTTTGCTTAATTCCCAATAGCAGCTGTCTTGTAAGGATGAATACAAAAGCAATGTATGTTAGTTTGAAGATGTAGGTTTAGACTGAAAAAGTCTTCCTTTTCAAGTACCGGCTTTTCTAAAATGGCTTAAAAAGAAAAAAGGAAATAAGTTTTATCACAAAATAATAATTCATTTGAAAAAAAAATATTCCTATTCCTTCAGACAAATTACTGCCATGGAGGATTTCCCACAGAACAAAAGCAACCATTTTGTGAGGCATCATACTGGTTCTGTGTAATCAAAAGCAGAATTACATTTGTTTTTCTTCTGTTAAAAGTAAGCAAAAGCTAATTTCTGTGAAAGACATCTGGAACATAAACACTTACTTCGACAGAACCAATCTTCCTGGATCTTGGAAGGGGCGACTTTCTGTGTATGTGAATTGGGTCTGATACCATTGGCTTGAACATCACTACTGACCGATCTGTTTCATCTCTTCTAGAAGCATGTGCCTCCTCATCACTATCATTTCTATGAGAGGTTTTCTTCGAGCCTTCATTCTACAAACAATACATAATTAATTTTCAATTCAGCTGCACACCTTGCAACATGTAGACAGAAGTGGCTGTTAAATAAATCTATGTAAGCATAAAGCAAGCCGACTTTAAAAATACAAGACATAAATCACATATTATTGAAGAAATTGCTCTAGACTTTAATAATCTATGTGTATTTGCCCCTAACCAGCAACTGCATATGACACTGTGGTCCTAATTAACCACACTGTTCAGCCAGCATATCTTACTCCAATTTTCTGTTGACATAGTAATAAAATCCTGGCCCCACAAGTCAACAGAAAAATTCTAACCAAGCTTTGCTTTCATTCATTTCTCAAAAAGCAGCTGGTAACTTCACAGACTTGCCCATACATCTTTGAAACTATCAATACTTCCTCAACAATCTGTATTCAATATCTTACCTTCTGAAATATTTTGCAGTTGCCAGAATATCATTGATGTGACACTGGTGTTTTTTACCACTTTCTTACAAGAGTATTTTGTATTTCTAGCAAAAATTCTGGCAAAGCCATACAAGGTCCAAATTATCTGTGTCCATTACCTCATTGTCCATTCAAAATGGAATAATACATTGAGACTGCCTATATTTCATTAGACATTTTTCTACCAAAATAAAAACCACATTTGTATTTGTTACCTAACTATTTCCCATTGTTTATTTTAGGTATGTCTGCATCCAGAAAAACTAACTTTTGCTTTACAGAAAGGCTTAATTTATTACCTCTCTGGAGGCAGGTCTGTATCCATATCCAGCTGGTAAATTTTTGTCTTCCTCACAGCCTTTGGCTCCTGGACTAAAGTGCAGCTCCACATGAAAACGTTCTTCTGAAGAAAGTTCCTGAAGAAAAATTATGAAATAGGTTTACACTTTAATACATACCACAGCACTACTCATTTCTGAAGATATTTATCAATTTTAAATACCTTGTTTGGATCCTCATAAAGCATGATAACAATCTGTGTCATGTAATTGAGTTCATTGACAACATTTAAATAATCCATAGCTCGTTTCCATTGTTCATCTTTTGATTCCTTATGAAGGGGGAAAAAAAAACAACAAATAAAATCCAGACATCTTCTTTAAAAAGACTATTTCCCTTTTTCCCCATTTACGTGGGTTTTACTTTTACAGCAGAAGTATGAACTTTTTCACAGTTAAGGAAAAAACAGATACAGCCAGAAAAAAAAAGTGACTTAAAATTTCTCATCAAATAAATGAAAAGTGGAGATCAGAACTTTACATATTTTATTTCAGTGCATCTTTCATATTCTTCCGCCAGTGATGATACATATCTTGTAGACCAAGGCACCTTTTTAAACTCTCCTGATGGAAATTGTTAATTTTGCAATAAACTCATTTCAACTAGATTATTGCAGCAAATGTTTCTAGATTTTACTCTACCCGTGAAACAGACAGAGTAAATGAAGGCTTCTAGTATACAGAGAAAAAATAACCACCACATCCCAAACTATTTAAAATTAATATTCACCTTTTTTCATGCTCTGGAAAAAATACATTCAGTAATTCACTTTAAAGGAAACTAAGTTTATCAACCTAGAACTAGGAGCATATCTGCTGTAGCATGTCACAGAGGTCTAGGATTAAAAATGCTTTTATCATCAGTGAGATTAGTCATCCATTACTAGAAACAAGCATGTCAATACAAACATTTTAAAAGTTAGTGTATTAATCAAGCACTATCTTAAAAGCAGCTTTGTAGGCTTTGTGGTGCTGCATCTATCCTCTCCAAGAGCTCAGGTAGGTAACTTCTGAATCTGGAGATCTTGTCTTTTTTTATCCTTTGTTTCAAAGCCAATCAGATGGAGAATAATGCACTACCTTCAAGGTATTCTACAACAGTATAGGAAAGTAAGACAATCTACTGAACACAAGAAACTTTGGCCTACATGGGCATTCTTGAAGTCAGGTAGGGAGGTCTTGACAATATGCCAACGGCCAAAAGTATTAAGCCAGTCCAAAAGTGAAATCAAGAGAACCCTGAAGGACAACTCAAAGGAAAAACACTTGGAAAACTGATAGGTGACAACATTAAAAAAAAAAAAAAAAAAAATTATCTGTGCTCATAAAATCTCTTTAACACTGTAACATATACAGCTGAACACACCAATAGAACTCAGCATTACTTTAAAGGGCATGCTGATTTCCACCAATGTGCGCACCAGCAATTTGAAATATGTCTCTGCATATGTAATAGGAAAACAAATGTTTGAAAAAGTGCGATAAATTTCAAAGCCACTGAAGAAAATTAAGCTTTCGATTGATACAATTTTAGTAACATTGAGCCTTTTTGGTTCTTCTCAAGATATCAGAGCTTTAACAGAAAAAAGTGTTCAACTTACATCACATAAGGCACCATAACGAAGGGTGGATAACAGGGAGTGGACATGACTCTCGCTGGTGAAATACAGCCGTGTACGAACGTGGCGTTCAGGGGACATAACACCCCTGGAGTAACTTGAAAGAAAAGAAGATCTTATTAGAGCATAATGAGATGTGTTTCTATTTTAGACATAGCTGTCAACAAATAAATAAATCATACTTTTAAAAATACTATGAGCTAGTAAGACATTTCAAATATGAAAGCTATGGAATATCTCCGTTAAGTCTTTCAGAAATTAATGTAACCACGTAAAAAAGTACAAGACTTACAGAGGGTGAAGCTTATTTACAGTATCATCATCTTGAGTTCTCTGAAGGTCAGAACGGATTTTTCTAACTAGAGGAGTGCAGTAACCTTTGGCAATCTCTAGTTTCTCAGCCTTAGAAATACCGTATTCCTGTGGAAGAAGAAACTGACTTTTAAAATTCAGTTAAAGATTGAATTGCCCCCTAATTCAAAGCCTGTATATTAAAGCCAGTTAGTCATCTACTAGCTTGCTCTGGCTGCAAAAAATTTAAACAAAACAGTTTATTACATTTGATTACTAATGTCCCTTCAAGTAACAAGGGCTTTGCCTTTTTGCTGTTTGATTTGACACAGGAACGATTTTTCATTCACTAGTTAAATTACAAAGGTGGATTCAGCTTCTGGTAAGATAAAACTCTTTCTTAAGCAAAACATCTAGGAAAATGATTCCTCCTCCCCACCTCCCTGCCCCCATCACCCTCCACCACGCATTTCATCTCACCTGATTTCAAGTAACTTTTTTTTTTTTTAAGCAGTCTACAAAGATATATGGATTAATATGTCTACCACAGTTTGGGGTAAACCACCCCACAGAAGATCTGCTATTCATCTCAAATAATACTGAAAATGGTAGTTAAATACAACTGGAAAATACTGTATCTGTTACAGTATCTACAATATTTTAAAATCTCCTCGTCCAGAGGCTTCATGCTCTGTCCTGCCCATGATATGGAAATGCTTTCATCATTATGATGGATCTTCTGGTTACTCTAGAAAGCAACATAAGCACTTTTCCTTTGCATTATGTAGGCTTATCAAGTTTTCTTTGGTTTTCTTCTTTCAGTATGTGTCCTCATTTTTACCTACTCTTCTCTAACACTTCAAAATTCAAGCTTAACAGGCCCACAGAACACAACACGTACTTGGTATCATTGCTCTTTTTGTCCTCTTTGCTGTCTGGGAGTTTGAGAGATGGGGAGAGGAAGAAGTTCCCTCGCTTGCTGCTTACAGTAGAGATAATACCTCTCTTACAACAGTGCTCCTTAACTGCAGGGACACTTGGGGAAAGCTTTAGTCTATTCTGTCCCGTTACCACAAAACAATTCCATGTCTTGCAAAAGCCTACAAAATTTTGGAGCTAACTTGAGTATAACAGCCTATAGTATATAGAAGTTTAGCTTGTCTGCTTCTGGCCTGAAATTCTAATCTGTAGATTTTTATCAGGAAGCATTAGCATTTTGAAGCAGCAGAAAGGTCTTTTTAAATTTAAATTGCTTAAAACAAGTGACATTAGATGGATTAGGATTAACAGTGTCATTTGCAAGGAGCCTGAAAATGAAATTTCTAAAAGCAGGAAGAATGATATCAAATGCAATTTCAGAATACACAGTTTGTTTACAGGGACTCCACTTAAATCTATGTGGAATGGCTGAGATGAACCACTTTATTTTAATAACACTGCAGTAAAGGGAGCAGACATGTTCACAGCTTAAATTGCTAGAAGAATTCACTTTGAACACAGCTTAATGAATTATGAATCAATTTTTTCTTACAAAAAATAATCAGCTTGATACTAGAAAATAAGAGTTAATGTTAAAGGCTTCTACTACTAAAAAATATAGGAACCTTCAATAGAAGAGACAGAGCAGATATTTTCACAATATTTGAAAAAGCATTTGTTCTACAACTTATTCTATTTAATAACTTAAAATGCTTACCTGAGGGATCACAATGTCAGCTAAAGCCTTTGAAAGCCTGTATAATTCCATTGTGTTTTCTAATTTTAAGGAGCCATTGTGCTGCACGTCATATTTTATACAGTCATAAATATCTGGAATTTTGCTTATATCGTATCTTCCATTTTTTGTTTTAAAGTCTTTTTCCAGCTTGGCCCACCTGCGCAGCATGAGTTCTAGTGTTTCACTGTGGTACAGCTGAATATCTGGATAGACACATATCTCATAAGTAATCAAGAGCATCCAAGTAACAAAAGGGAAATTTTAATTACATGGTAGTAACAGTTGAATACAGAGGGATAAAAGGGATCAAATAAGTTAACTGCATTACTTGTAAGGAGAGGGAACAGATGTGCATATGGTTAATTTTACTGCTGAAAGCTTCACAGCTACATAGCTACATCAAGACAGCAGAAAGCTTTGCTGCAGAAATGCACCACTGGCCCTTTAAGGAAAGCTACAGCACCAAGAATGAAGTGTCCTACAGCAAAGATCGTATATAAAAAAACCAGCACCAAAAAAAGCTGTAAGAAAATTCTAGGAGAAAGAATTCTAGAGGAGCAGGACAACATCTCTGGTTTAGAACAGACCACACATCCTATTTGTCTCCCTCTTGCAGGCATCAACAGGAAGAGACAAGACACTGGTAGAAAGGATGGATTATCCCCATCCTGGGACAGAAGATTAGACCAAATAGACAAAACCCACTGATACAATGCACAGGTGACATGTGTACTGCTCAACCTCAGAGCAGAAGCTACTAGCACACTACACGCTGCAGAGAACACTGATAGCAAATGTTCCAGTATTCAGCTAGTACCAAAAAACCACTGTGGTTACTTCCATCTCCAGTTTTGCTGTGTCATTCGTTCACCACCATTAAAATTGAGCATCATTCTATGCAATACTACTACTCATCATACAGCAAGCAACAGATTTTCAGCAAAGATACTTAAATATAAGAATGTACCTATGTAACTTAGCTTTAGTACCATCTGCTTTTGCTATTACTCTTCTTGACCGCTGAGTTTCAAATAAGTCTGACAAGAATTTCTGCAAACATTTGAGTACTGGCCTGAATTTCTGAACACCACAAAGAGCCCTTACCTGCAATGTGACTGCATGTTCATCCTGCTTTTTACTGTAAAATTATGTATATGGAATCAGATTGTGAAAATCCCTAACCCACTGTTGATTAAAGTTCTACTAAAAGCAAGTTTAATGAAGAAAAGTTTTGTTACAATTCTCTCTCAGATGTAAACTAGAGACACTAAATACAACTACAAAAATGTTTAAGTACCTGCAGACTTTGGATCTTCCATTCTTTGCCTGATCTGAGAAGTCAAGCTCTGGATCAAGGAATAGACCTTGTCACATGTCTTTACAGGATTTTTAATAACCTGCATTGATTTTATCAATGAGATGCTTCCAGATGGAGTAAGCTGCAATTTGACATAAACACAAAATTATCTAAACAAACTGACTAGATTTGAAAGAACTGGGGAGATAAGATGTAACATATGAAAGATTCCAAGTATCGAAGAAAAAGCATTCAAGCAGGTTGCTATTAATTTTTGAAACCATTTCTCAATTACCTACTCCCTTTGAGACACTAAGAAAAGAAAATATATCAAAAGTTAGTAAGATTTACTAGAGGTTCAAAGGTGACAAAAATTCATAGGGCAACTAATTCTTCACAGTAAACATGAGCAGTTTCAGGAGTTCCTAAAACTTTTTTGTTCCAAGACAGGGAAATTGGAAAGATATTTAAAACTTTGCATGTACTTAGCAACTTCCCATAACTTTCTTTCAAGTAACTATTGTATTCAAAGGCTTACAAAAAAGTCTGTAAGAAATGTTATCGTTAAGTTACGTGCCTCACAGAATACAAAATTTTTGTTCTATGAAGTACCCTCCTTAGCATAACTGAGAAGAACCAGATTGCAATAGTAACTGACACCTGAAAAAAAGTTTGTCTCTTCCTGTTTTAGGTTTTTGTTCCTGTAGGGCTGCAGCACACACAAACAAGAAACACCCTTTCTTTAAATGCACATATATGAAGAACATACAAGATGTCCTTCAGAGCTGACTCAATTATAGAAATTGCAGAAGCTAGAAATTATCACCATCAAGTTCAGTGTCACTAAAACAACAGTCAATAACCATGCAAGTGAGGCTTAGCCTCGTTCTTTCAGAAAAGTCTGCATAACCCAAACTAGGCAAACAATGATATTAAACAATAATTTACATACATAACACATACATATTTGCACTTTTCCCGGTTTCCTCAAATGCATAGGGTAATTTGGATATAGAAAACTTCTGCTCTCCTACCTAATAGTAAGCAGTTCCTATCTCCCTATTATGACCAAGTACATCAATAGGAAAGGTGCTCTCACAAAAAAACCCATATTGTTCTCCCAAATCACAAGTAATTTAAAAAAAACCCAAAACCACAAACCAAAAAAGTTATTGCCACTTTATAACCGCAAAGGTTAGTTACTCTCAGTGACTGTCTTCGAACAGTATGCTCTATTAGAACCAGTCACCTTTCACATCCCATTATATCTATATAGCAAAAAGAAGGGGGAATATAAATAAATCCTTGAGACCTTGTACCCTCTCACTTTTTCTGAGTACTGCTCAATCCACTGTTGGCAGTGGCTTGGATAACACTTTTAATCTATATGTTTAAATGAATCCACATAGAGTATACATGCAGGGCGGTAAAACTGTTTTTCAGTAATTTGCTCTCAATACCTTTTAGAAAACAGCAGCTTAAGCTTAAACCTCATTTGAGGACTTGTATTTAGTTGTATACCAGACAGAGTAAGGGCAATTGAAAGACAAAGTAGTTTCTTAACAGTAATAAACATTACTTACATTTAAACCCAGGAACAATCGTGTATTCTGTACTAAGTCAGCATAATTATATTAATATGCACTGATTTAGCATGTTAATGAGACATTTCCTTTCACTGATTAGAAAGTATTCTACTGGTTTTCAGCATCTTAATATTCTTAGAATTAAAAAAGGTCTTCTAGAAGATTAAATATAGAAACAACTGCAGTAGGCAGACAATACATTTTGCAGTACCACATGCTGTCAAAGTAAAGATTACAGAAAGTGTAAACAATGTAATGTCATTTCTTGACTATTCAAAATATTTTTAACGGAACAGTGAAAAATATTTACAAATGAGGTCCCTATCTACTCCTGTTTCAAAGTTTGTAGCTATTGTGATTACTCAAATTGCAGGACAGCTCAAAATACCTATATATCACAATTGGTACAGCTTGCTTTGTAGTTCAAACTATTTGCAAGTACACAATTTTTCACAATAGATACATTACTTTTACACAAGAACTTGTATGGCCATTTATTTAACTTCATAGGGAACTAATCATATGCTAACCTTATCATAGTCGTCAGCAGTAAATTCTCTGTCTCTCTGGAGAATTTCATGGAGTCTTGCTTTAACACGATGCTGACAGCTACTTAAAGAATCACTGTCACTGTCCAACAGACCATTCATATTAGCACTTTTTACCATCTGGACAAGAATAGGAGTCAGCTCACCCTCTAAGGCCAGTAGTCCCTGAAATAAATAATATAATTAATCAGGCAAATAGATGAAGATGAGAATATAGGAGTAGCTTAAAAAACCTACTCAAACCACTAATTTAAATTCAAGATTGTATGACTTGCTTATGGGTTAGATAAACAGGGACTTGGCAGACAATGCAAATGTTTGCATAGAAACGGCCCCCAAAACATTGCCTTGGTGTGCAGTACTGTTACAGTTGGTGCAACAGTGATGGCAACACGTCATAGAACATGCTCCCCAGCACTAGCTGAAGTTACCCCAGCATCTCAGTGGTGCCCACATTGCTCCTGGGAGGCCATAGCTGTTCAGGTCTTGGGTTGTAGGGAGCACATGGTGCCTTCCCCGAGGCAGGGAGCAATAGCAGCCTGGCTTCTGGGGATCATGCTCTGCTCAAGGCATTGTGTCACCAGACAGTAGCTATGGGAAGAGTTAGCAAACTGAATAGCATCTGGGAAGACAAATGGGAGATAGACAGGGTCTTTGCAGAGACCCTACAGAGGCAAAAGCCATGTGTGGCACAGGACAGTCAAAGGCTACAGTTGAACAAGAGGTGAATGGAGACTTCGAAAATGGAGAAGGCTGGAAACTTTTGTGACTCTTCTGGCAATAGAAGGGCTCTGGGATAAGGAAGGAAATGTGGTGGTGTCTCTTCAAGCCTGCTGACCAAGGAGAAAGCAGCACAGATAGCTGAAATAGTTCTGCACCAACACACGCAGCATGGAAACAAACAGGAGAATTAAGAAGCCCGAACACTTGCAGAGCTTTAAGTTCATCAGAATTAGAGAGATGTGGTAGAACAGTTCACAGAAATGGAGTTTTGCTACAGTCAGATACAGGGCCTTTTGGGAGCCAGGAAGTCAGGGAGACAGAGTTGGGCTCTATGTAAATGACTACCTTGAACACCGGGACCTTTGCATTCAAACCAGTGACAAACAAGCTGAGATCTTATGTCTCAGAGGGCAAATAAACACAGGGCAACATCATGGTGGGACTCGCTAGAGACCACCTGGTCTAAAAGGGGAAACAGATGAAACCTTCTTAACACAGCTGGAGAAAGCCTCATGATTGCAGGCCTTGTTTTCCGTGGGGCAATATTGCAGGGGAAAAGCAATCGAGATTTACAGAAAACACCCAGGACAATTCTTGGACACAAGCTACTGATGAAGTATTGAGCAGAGGCATTCCCTGGACCCGTTACTCAGAAGCGTCAGGAACATGGAGGTCAATGGCAGCCTCAGTAATTGAAACTTGATATTATGACAGATCCTTGGAGAAGTGAACAAGATAACTAATTCCATTAGAGCCCTGGACTTCAAACAAGCAGACTTTAGCTTGTTCGTGTAACCCTATAGAGGAGTGTACTGAAGGACAAAAGTGCCCAGGACAGCCAGATGATTTCCAAAGACAACCTCCTCAAAGCACAACAGCAGTCTACTCTGACATATGGAAAATAATGCAGAAGGTCAGCATGGACAGAAAAGGAACACACAAAAGCACAGATGGGCTTCCTGGGAAGAACAGAGACATGACCTGAAAAAGAGTGGTGGAATTAAAAACGTGGAGAGGCTGTGGAATCTCCATTCCTGGAGATACACAGAACTTGACTGGATCTGATTCTGAGCAACATCATCCAAAGTGGCTCTGTGCTGCGTGGAGTTGGACTAGATGACCTCCAGGGGCCCCTTGAAACCTAAACCTCTCTGTCACTCTGTATTATTACTGAAACTCATTCACCTAAGAGTAACACTTGCACTGTCTGTGTCCTCTCACACAATTAAAAGACCTGTATCACTGAGGAAATAAGTGAATAAATTATTAGCAAGCAGAAGTATTACGCATGCAAAGGGCTACCTCAGAGGATGAGCAGAAGAGAAATTTGCCTAGCACAAAGAGGGATAAAAGAATACTTTGGCAAGCATTAAAGATGGAGAAAGTGCCGTATTCTGTGTTTTATATTAATAGTTCGTATAAATTCACATTTGTACTGAAAAAAAAAGTTCATACTTTTTAAAACATCACCACAATTTTTTTTTATTTCACATCAAAAATACATGTAAAAAAATATTTTTCTAAAGTGGCAAGATGTAGTAATGTTACCATGTCTTACCTATTAGGTATCTATTTTGACAGGCCCAAAGTAACAAGTCCCCTGTAACAACTTTAAGAAACTACTTCTATTCATTCCAAAAAAAGCACGAATGTACAATCTGTACAATTTCCCATTAAATATATGCAAAGTAGTTTTTTAATTCCACATTTCTAATAGCTTCAAACCCTCTAATTTCCTCTATAAAGTTACAAATCAATAAATGGAAGATAGTTTTAATGAAAAGTGTTGCCTTTTGAACTTCAAATCTTCTGGTCTGAATCAATGAAGTGATTGAAAATTGCAATTTTTGCTCATGTAAAATGAATACATTATCTCAAATCAGTTCTAATGTCTGTGCTTTAAGCAACACACACACACAATCCATCACAGAAGTCTGACAAAATTTGAAGAAAGTAGGCCCTAAACAAATAAGCATGGTGAAAACTAAAAATGTTGCAAATCGCATCCTGGGTTGCATCAAAAGAAGTGTGGTCAGCAGGTTGATGGAGGTGATTCTCCCTCTCTACTCTGCTCTGGTGAGACCCCACTTGGAGTACTGCATTCAGCTCTGGCATGCCCAGCATAAGAAAGACATGGACCTGCTTGAGGAGGTCCAGAGGAGAAGGACCACAAAGATGATCAGGGGGCTGGAGCACCTCCTCTATGAGGACAGGCTGAGACAGTTGGGGTTGTTCACCCTGGAGAAGAGAAGGCTGCAGGGAAACCTTACTGCAGCCTTCTAGTACTTAAAGGGGGCCTACAGGGAAGTTGGGGAGGGACTCTTTATCAGGGACTATAGCGATAGGACGAGGAGTAATGGTTTTAAATGGAAAGCAGGTCAGATTTAGATTAGGTATTAGGAAGAAATTCTTTACCGTGAGGGTGGTGAGACACTGGAACAGGTTGCGTGGAGAAGTTGTGGATGCCTTCTCCCTGCAAGTGTTCAAGGCCAGGCTGGATGAGGCTTTGACCATCCTGGTCTAGTGGAATATGTCCCTGCCCATGGCAGGGTGTTGGACCTACATGATCTTTAAGGTCCCTTCCAACCCAAACCATTCTACAATTCAAAGATTTTGGAGGTTATTACTGGAAAGGGACTAAGGTATATTGCTAGGGCTGTATAATTAAAACCTGTCTGCAGCTGCTCAAAGGACTTCAAATGCTTGGCACATTAACTGATACTTCTTCACACCGAAAAACTCTTTGAAAATACATTTATTTTAAAACATAGCCTCATTATACACTGTGGACTCTAATATACCATAAATCACCCTCAGTCTTCAAAAGAAAAAAAAAAAAACAAAACTTGAGAACATCATAATTCTTAAAATTGAAAACAAGACATCACACTGTACCTTTGCAAAAGCTGCTGCAGTCATCTGAACTCGTCCCTCATCAGAAGCGTAGATTTTGAGATCATGTCGGTAAGTGCTATGTAATCTAAGTAAACCACATCCAGGAAATCCAGCATAATCTCCTATCAAACAAACATTTTGCTCAAACTCTCATTTTGCACTTGATTATCGTCAAAAGGGATTTATGCCATTCAATTTTTTTTTTTTTACCTTGTCCACCTGGATACATACACCTGAAAGCCCTTCCAAGCTCTTCTGCTTGAACCCTGCCTGCAGGGGTCAATTCTCCTCCCCATTTTAGAACCAGAAGCAGGGATGGCTCATCTCTTCTATTATCTAATTGCACACAGAGAGAGGAGTTTAGTAGTAAAGCATATTATAAATTTTTTTTCTTCCCATACAAAGAAAAAAATACTAGGACTATGCAGGGCCTTCAGTGAAGGATCTCTCCAACCTTACGAAACTTTTAATAGCATTCTAACATTAATAAAATATTGAATTAGAGAACTAAATGGGCACTTAAACAGAGAAACATGAAGTATTGAAGAGAAAACATAAGTGAAAAATAATTAGCATGAAATCTGAAGCAAAAAGTAAATTGATACAGAAAAAACTAAAACAAATTGGATGCTGAATACCCTACAGTTATTTCAGTCAATAAACATGGGTCAAAGACCAGAAAAGCTTATAAAAATTTTAAAGATAGCAGTAAATGTTGAGTGGGATTTTCCCACCCTGGCCCCAAAATACCGTTTTTGGTGAATCACTGAAGTTTATTTTCAGTCTGCTTTTCTGTTACAAAAAAGCAGTCTTAGAATACAAACTTACTACATAGTTGTAGATATATGATTCAGCAGATTAAGAGACTCTGTCAACAATACAAACATTCACTCAAAACAACTTATTCCTTCTTCTTAACATCAACACATGTTATACCAGTAGTCCATGACAACAACATGATATTAAGTGATTAGGTGCAAAAGTAATACACTACCTTCCTCTTCACTGGAAGTCTTTGGGCAACCATGAGGAAGATATGTTAACTGGACTTTGCGATTTATGCCTGAAAAATGCCCATACCTGAAGTAGGAACAGGGGAAAGCGACAGAGTAAGAGGGAGGGAGAGAAACATTTTAACTATTTGCCTCCACACCTGCTACACTTCTGTAACAGGCTGTAATAAATCTAAGCTGGTCATTGATTTGTGCATTTGACCACCACCTATTGAAGCAGTGCTTAGAAAAAACCTAACTCAACATGCGCAGAATGACTACAGAAATATCAACCATTCTAGAACAAAACATTTAAAAATACTACTACTTTTTTTCACACCACTGAACATAAAACCGTAAAAAAAAAAAAAAAGCATTTGCAAATTGCACAAGTGATTCATCTATTCAGATTCACAGCGACAGTGGCTATCAGCATCCAGAATCCGATCTAGTAGTGTAGGTAGCCACTATTTTGTTAGCCAATTAAGTTCTCAAGCAGAACTCCATATTTCAAACAATTGCCACGAATTTCAATAAGAACTGTCTTTGCTCTTTTTTTTTTTTTTAATTAAAGTTACTGACTACCATATGTACAGCTCTGAGACCCCAGATCTTTAAGGAAAAAAAAAGTGAAAGTTCTTACTGGCTCCCTCAGGCTTTATTATGTCACACACTGCAAGAAGCAGACCCTGCACTCAAATACTTTAAAAACATGCAGGAAGATAAATTTTGAATCAAAGAAACTTAACTTTTTCATGTAGAAAGTATACTGAGACATTAGATAAAGCGGTAAGTTTAATTAAAAAGGAGAAAAAACAGAACGATGGCCCAGTTCTTCATAATGTCAAAAATGACATCCTTGCTCCTGGTAACCCTCATGCTTGAATTAATACATCATTACATATTTGATAACCATTTGTGATCCAAGCAGTAACTGGTCAAACTTAAGTTGCTATGAAGCCTGAAAATTAGACACTTACATTTCTAACACAGTCTTTAGCTGTTCAAGTTTTGCTTTGCTTTCTTCAATTTCAGAATCATTGTTTTGCCCAAGTTCTACAAGGAGCTGCCTTGCTATATCAAGCACTTCCTAAAGAAAAGGAACATAGGATTTACTTAAATAAGTAAATTTCTACTTACAAAATACCACAGCAGGAAAATAAAGACAAACTTGCCTGCAACTGTTTTGGTTTTTTCAGTTTTAGTTTTCCAGATTTATATCCATCACATTTTTCAAAGAGATCAAAAAACCTTTAAGAGAAAGAATATTGATTAAAAAACACGGTTAAGATATTACTTGAACACGTGGCTCTTAAAGTGGTGTGAAATTAGCACCTTCACACTATTTGAAAAGCATGTTAAAACATGCATAACAGAGGTCAAACCGAATTTTTTTATTAAAATCTCACTTCCCAAGAAAGTCTTCAGCACAATAGAGGAATAAGAGCACTAAAAATGTTCTCTTACTGACTTGCTACGCGTTAAAAAAAAAAAAAAAAAGGGAAGATATTGTATATATCAAATGGCACAGTAGTCAAATATACAGCTATGTCAATGCTTAATCTCCAGGAATGATCCTGAACAGAAGTAGGGACCAAATATACCAAATGAGCAGTCCTACACATTTACAGCATGTATCTCAATGCAAGAATCTAGTCCCAAAACAATAAATTTTTTACTGATTTTTTTTTTACTTTTTACTGAAATTGCACCTAATTCCAGGCCAATTATGTAAGGCACTTTATGAATGCTAACATAAAGATGGTATATACCAGAAATTCAGAGTCAAACTTTGACAAAAGTAAAAGACAAAAAGATGGTGCAGTAAGACAACAGCTCACACAACAACAGTTATGATAAAAAGAGAAAGGCAGAAGTCACGGTCAAATGGTGAACCAGAAGTATTCTCCGATGCATTATTTTGAATAAAGAATCTATGGAGACAAATGCATTTTCATGAAGAGCAAGCAGGACTGTTCACAAGGCACAGCATGTGATGAAGGAAGCCTGCACAAGTAATTTGACAGACAGTCCTGTTAGAGAGGTGCACGCTTGTTAATTAGCTGCAACATCAGTTAGAGTCAAAAGAAAACAAAACAAAAAATAACACATATGATGGAATTCCTGCTCAGTTCATCGCTTGGACATCCCCAAGAACTGCGTTCTGCTCTAAAGCATCCAAAGTAATTTTTACCAAGCTTCTACTTACTTCTGATGTTTTACTTCCATTTTCATTTTTTGTTTTGGTGTTCGGTCCCCATGGCGTATTACAGCTATAACACATCTAAGCTCCATCCTGAAATTTCAAGAGAGTTGTATTTCACAATTCTATATATGAGGGTCTTTTATTTAGTATTAAAACCACCACAAATCAAGACAATTGACAAAGTTGTAGTTATCTGACATAACTACAGAAGTGATGGAAGGGTATGCAAGAATATAAGGTTAACTGAAAAAGATGTAAGATATAAAATATAAATATTGATTTTAAGACTCGAGTAACTACAGAATATCTATTTTAAGCAGGTTTTAAAACAACGATTTTGAGGTTCATTAAATGAGGGAGCATGTTTATTAGAAGTGCATATTAAGTTGGTGCTGGAACAATGATTAGCAGTGAAGGAAGCTATGCATAAAAGATGCTAAACTTGAAAATCTGCTGTTCTGTACTCAGCTTGACTAAGGGTCAGAAACTCTGATTGCTGGCATAGCAATTGTGATTCCTTCCTTGTTTTCATCACACAAAACCAGCGTTCATAGGCCAAAGTGGGCACACCTTGTGAAGAGAAAAAAAAATTCACACAAAAGTTACATTAGGAGTTCGCATAACTCAGGTGTAGCTACTATTTTCTTACATTGTTCCAGAAGTGGTTGGCACAATAGGGATGTCTTCAGCTTCCAAAGGAATAGCGGTTAAAAAGAAAAAAAAACCACTAAGTTTAAAGCACAGAATACAGACTCCAAACCAAATAGATAATATATACATGCATTTTTATCAGTGTGGTTTTAAAGTACTAGCGGTCATGAGTCTCTAGGTGCATACTTTTAATTGTATAATAAAAACCTACTTAAACAGCAATTCAAAGTTACTACAACTGCTACAGAGACATCATTAGCCTTATGGCCCTGGATTCGTAAGAAACCACTGGTTTTGAACTCCAGTTCCTAAAAGAGTTCCTTGGATACGATTTAGTCTTGTTCATTTAAATATTCAGATACCTGACTCCACTGCCTAACTGAAAGTCCCTGATAATCAGCAAGCCATTCTCATCAAAGAGTAACTGGTATCTTTAGAGGCAATTTCTCAAAAGTTTCTGCGATAGAATTGGAAAAATAGGTAAAGTCTCTGGTCATAACTACAAAATGATAACAGTGCCTCCACCTACATCTTGCTAATGCTCTGTTTTTCAAGTATTTAATCAAAATATACTAAACTTCAGATTAATATCTACATAAGAAGCAGTAACAGTGAGGAAAACAACTGTGCATCTTAAATTTTGGCTTATGCTACTTTAATTTCTAAAAAGATCAAAAAAATCTGCTGTTACTTAACACTGCAATGTATCACCTTAAGGAATAAAGCATAAGTTAAAAATGATGAGGTAACTCTTTTCAGAGATTTCAACAGCTACAATTTGAATAAAGAGAAATCAAAATGATTCTGAGAACTGTAATTCTAACTAAAAAAGTGGCCTAAACCAACCTACAGTTGTTATCTAGGATTTCAGCTTAGCTCTTCCTCTATTTAATAAGATCCTAGACCATTATCAAATGCAGAAAGTCATGATATATCTCATCAGTGCAATCTTACTGTAAAGCCAGTAAACTTGTCAAAATGGGATCAACCTACTTTGACGGCAACATTTCATTGGCATACAGTTCACTACCCATTTCTGTATGATCCCCTGTTATGCCTTTTTTTGCTCTCAGCAGCAGAGAGAAAATGGTGTGACAGAGGACACCTTGATACTACATCAGTTTGGATTTACCAAATATGAAATCCAAAAATATACAAGCATACACCAGCTTCAGATCAGCAGTAAGCATAACAATCCAGTGGTGCTTCTCTACTTAAAAAAAAAATCTCAGCTACCTTTGAGAACTTAATCTGGCTTTCAAAATACCTACTCAGTTAGCTTTAAGAATTCACAAAACACTTGGACTCTGATATTTTGGATAATTTTAGGAATAAGGAATTTATTCAGAATTTATTTATTGAATTAGGACTCTTTTTAATATTTTATTTATTTTATTTAATGACTTATTTTATGCGATATTTCATTTTAAATATTTAATTTAGGAACAAGGAATAAGTAGTACATAAACTATAGTAACATACAACAGAGTGAATAGGCAAAACTCCTGAAATAAATCAGTAAACCCTTACCCCAGTATCTTAGCACAATCATCATAGTATTTCATGGAGTTTTTCACAAAACTGAAGCCATTCACATCACAGACATAGGACTGTCCATTAGCACGCAGCAAATCAAATCCACAAACTGTTTGCTGTTTTTAAGAATAAAAGTTCCAGTCATTGATCACCTTCCTTAGGATTGCTTATTCTAAATAAACTTTGTATTTTAACATGGTATTCATCAGAAAACATGACAAAAATGTGACAGATTTTATACCTAGTACCTTTTGCCAGTTCCATGTTAGGTTTGCTCACGTCATGTAAATATCTTCCTTTTTTAACTTCATATCCCCAACTTGATTTTACCCTTCCTACATATCCCTAGCAGTAACAGTATTGAAGGTCAAGGTCACATGTGCACAAACTTAACCTCCAAGATTCACAGCAAAAGCAATAATGGGCCTACAAATTCCCCATTCTGACAGTGGTTTCCCCCTACACATAGTTTTTAAAGGTGGCAGACAAGAAATGGCAAAATGTTGCTAAGAACATTTTTGTCCATATTTAAATTTGGCAGGATAGTTTTGATGCTGACATAATATTGACATTATTAGTACAGGACACTAGATGCCATTTCAACAGATTACTTTTTTAGATCTCAAAGCCCACTTTGCTAGGTGATAGAGGTTATACCCTGCAGGCTCCACAATGCCATCATAGTTACATGCAGGTAATGAGACAGACCGAAAGCCAGCCTCATAATAAGACAGGTGAAAGGAGGGTAAGAGATTGAATGAGGTTTTGAACAAAGAAGTCTTAAAACTATACAAAAATGGAAAACTATCAAACACTTCAAATAAAGAAAAGTCATGTCAGTACCAAGTTAACATTTAATTGGGCCCAATGTAAACACTAGGTAACAAAAGTTACAAACCACTTGCTGAATGAACTTGTGTTTTGCTAATAGACAAACCATTAAGAAAACGTGTGAACATATTATGTATAGAACAGATACACAGTGGACCAGCAAAGCACAATAGCAACATGTGAATTCAGGAACCTTATGCAACATAAGCAACCATTCAGAACTTTTCAATGCATTAAAAGAAGAATTCTTCTAGATTAAAAAGAAGATGTGGAAGTTTAACTTTCACCTTCCTAAGAGTTCTGCAGTAATTACCACTGCTGGCTCTGTGCTCTAAAACCCTATGGAAGTTTCACGTAATAAACAATTAATTAACACTAAATGTTTGATCAGATAGTAAAGTAATCAGCTTACTTTAAAGGCAAGGCATACTTTCCAAGCAATTAACTTCTCTCTTGCATTCAGGATGACTGGATACCTCACTTCTTTTCCTTCACTATCTCGTTCTACCTTGCCATCCAGAGCGGGAGACTTTCGGGCTTCAGCATGAGCATAGTCTGGACCTACTGTGTACACCTTTATTGAAAAACAGGAACTCTTGATTCAGTGTAATTAAATTACATTACATATATGCATACATATTGCTAAATTTATCTCAAATGTGATAATGATTTCAAAAGATACCAGCTGTTTTCATCATTGGCAAGATCACTCTAAAGTACCTTCCCCAATAGCATTCTCTGCCTTCAGAGAACACCCACCATTTACTGACAATCTAGGATAAAGCAAGAGGGGAAAGCAGGAGCCTAGGTAAAGAAAAATAGTAATTATAAAACTTGATGAATAAAAATTAATTTCTTAATTACGGTGGTACAGAGGTAAAGAATAATGTTTTCCTCTCCAAAACATCTGCGCAACTTGGAGAGCAGATTAATTTGAGAATTATTTCAGTTTACTTGATTATTAAAATCTGGCTGCAGGATTAAGTGATTTTCTTTGTTTAAAATATTTTCATATATTAGGCAGGACTAAACAAACCAAAGATCTGCCCAGTTTTAGCATGACAAGGCAGGGGGGCTTGAGAGAATGATTGTGCTATCTACTCTGCTGCAGTTTTGATGCTCACTGAAGGGGTTGGGGCATATGCTAGAAGACACTTGTCAGCAGCTCTCAAAAATGGGCTACTGTCACTTTACCTAAAAACAAAACTAAGCTTTGATAAAAAAGTATTCAACTAAACCAGGTGATTGCAAATACTGCCAATTTGGTCAATTCAGGCAAGATGGTGATTTGGGTGAAGCTGCTTAATATAAAGCTTTTGTTTATTAATTAGAATACTAAGATAGTTGGTAAAATCTATTTCAGTTCCAGATTTCTTTGTAACCTTCAGGCAAAATACCTAGGCAGCACCTACCTGTTTACACAGTAAAGTATATGCTATTTTGGCACTAATACAATACAGAAAAGAAAGACAACGTGTTAGGTAATAAGACTCCAGCACTCGATTCCAACAACATAAGCAAAGCTGCTCTACATTACAAGTACTGTGTTTAGCTAGAGTAAGAATTACATTCTTTACTTATGAACTGTATCAAAACTTCATTAAAATTAATCCTTGACACAAAGATATACTTTCATCTTTAAAACTGACAAGCTCTTGGAGCACTTGATTGTTCTAAATATAAGAACACAGTTGTCATACCTTCACATCAGTGCCATCTGTAGGCATGAATTCCTCATAAATATAGGAGCCAGTTTTTCTCACACTGCTTTCAGGGGAATAAACACTGCTTCTGCTGCCAATCTGAAATGAATATTTTTCTATTAATAAACTCATAGGCTACTGCCTGAGAAACTTTAAAACTCCTTAAATAACACGCTTGTACCGAGAAAACACTTCCTGTACCAAATGAAGCAAGTAGGTTTTGATTGTTCCTGAAAGATTTCTATAAGAAGTCTATAAAAGTCTATAAAAGTGCATTTTTACCTGTAAGAATCTGCAGTGGCTGTCAGCAGTATCTACAGCAAAGGAACAAAGGTCCTCATTCAATCTACATGTTCTCCTGAAATTAATTTCTCTGATCTGCCACTATTCCTACACAAGCAGGACATGACAAAGCAGGTCCCAGCTAATACACGGATAGGACGTAATTACACTGCAGTTCTGTTAGACATCTACAACTTTTCAATGGCTTTACTCTCACCTTTCGAAAGAGCCTCTGGCTTCCACCCCCAGCAGATGTTGGATAATAAATGTAAACATTGTGGTCCTCAGCACTAACTGGCTTTTCTACAAAAGGCTTTTGGAAAATTTCTCCGTTCACTTCCACGTGATCTTCTCCTTCAATCAAGTTGCATTCTGAAAAAACAGTGCAAATAACAGATGTAATAATATATTCATGGAGTGAAATTATTAGAGATTTGGGGTATTTTTGTAGGTTGAAATAAAAAGATTATGTTACAGTTTTGGTTCACTGGTTTGTTACTGACTGCACAAAGACTTGATGATCATGTGCTGAACATGTCTGTTGTACCACATCTATATTATGTTACTTTAATACTATGTTCCAGGATTTGTATTGATTCCCTCAGTGTCATACAGGGAATAGTCTCCTACGGATGCATAAGCCTGTATGGGTGGCATTTTTCTGGAAATGTTTTGAAGACAGGGCATACGACTGTTTGTCTCTTTCTTCAGTGCCTTTCTTTGAAATATCAGGGGGATGGCAGATGGACAGTGAATATGATGTGGTGCCAGATGCAATACAACTTTTAATAGGCTGAGAACTGTCTCATACTGTGTGACTGGTGGACCCTGCACACAGGATTAGGTCTTCTGGAATCAGGAATCTCTTTGCTACTGGTTGGCTGTATACAGCAGATTTTATTTGACTTTTGTGGCATAAGCGAGTCCTTTTTCCCCCTAGATTATGCAGACATTTTAACCTAAAATTCCCTACCTCTTAAGAGCTACACCACAGTAATACTTCAATTTTCTTTGTTTTTTCTTATCTCTTACTCTTGTGCCTTGACTTGTCATTGCAATCTCCTACTGTTGCTGTAAGTTTTCATTTTAGTAGAAAAAGCTGTTGTGTTTGTTTTCAGGTATAGAAAAAATTAATTCCAATTTATACTCAGAATATATCATCTGCAGATCTGTCTGGACTAGACTTCCGTTATATGGTTGCTTGTACTTAGAAGGGAAAGTATTCAATAGCCTGAATTGTTTCTGTCAATATTACCTTCCTAAGTAAAATTACTAATTATTGTGGGTAATGTTCATGTAATCACGAATGCTGCTCTCTTTGATGACATACTAGAATCTCTGCTTGAGTTTGGAGGCCCTTATATTCTAGTTGTTCTATAATGGCTGGAAGAGGATTGTAACCCCAGGCTTCAGGATCATGCTTTTCAGATGCACACTTGTACAGCCTTCGGGTGAGATGGAGTTAATTTTCTTCACAGCAGCTGGTATAGTGCTATGTTTTGAATTTGTGATCAAAACAGTCTTGATGTTCTAGTTATTGCTGAACAGTGCTTACAATGACTTTTCTGTTTCACATACTGCACCACACAGTAGGGGTTAATCCACAGCAACACATGAAATACTGGAGGAAAAATCAACGTCTGCATCAATGAATTAAATGTTTAGCAAGTAAAATTTAGCTTTCAGCTATGTATGTACTGTTATCCAGTGGAAACAAAGAGATGCCAATGGTTGATTTTTAGTCATCAGTTTTTACCTTGGGGATTGTTTGGATCACGGTTCAGAACTGCATAACGAGGAAGTAAGATGCCTTCGGCTTTAAGAATACCATATACTTCTCTCCTAGAAGAAAAGAAAAGATTACATATAAAATACTCTGCTTATTAATATAATGCTTTAAAGGTCACTGACGCAGCTGTACCTTTGCAGTGATCTCATCAATATCAATAAAAACATAATTTGCTATGCCAGTTCTGTCCTCTCCACTCTGGCAGTACAACAGTGATTTACATAGAACAATTGTCTTGTTAAAGGAGATTATTAATGTGAAGGGTTAAAAAAGTTTATACAGGACAGCAGCCGAAAGCATCCAAAATAGCAAGTCTGTGCACTGTTCAGAGGCTCCAATGTTTATGTATTTTGCTCACTATTGTTTTGTTAATATTTCCTATGCATGATTGCACCCTCAGAAGAAAACTCACTTTGAATAACCACATGATCTTTGAATACCGACAACTTAAGTATCTGCTTAACAGAAAAGAAGACCTTTAGTAAGTCACATGAATTTTACAGTTAAAGGAGGTTGTACAGTTGCTATACATACCTATCCTATACATATTTTCAGAGTTTAAACTTCTTCATTAGCTAAGCTTTAGACAAACGTATCACCAAATTTCTACTTTCGTAAATCTTCAGATGTATCAATATAACAGCATTAAAAGAAAAACCACAACTAAAGACATATCCCAGAAAACTATGCATACATAAATAAAACATAACATTCACTGTAATTTTAGTTATACTATTGCACTAGAACTGTTACTATGCAATACCAACAGATTCTCACAGCCTCCACTTAAAAGTAGTTTGCTGTTTACAGGTAATTAGTGTTACTTACCTGTCTTGTATGTGATACTGCATATTCAAGTCATTGATTATGAATGGATTCCTGAGTTTTGCATAGGCAACTGCTTTGTCCAGTGGAAATCCTAAAATATTTAAGACAAATAAATTAAAATTACAAGACACGGTACCAGTAAATAGTTTAGAGCCTTCATATTCAAGCATTAGAGTACAACCAGAGATACAGCTGAAGTGGGAAGATGCTCCCCTGACTACAGACATATGTAACATCAGCTTAAGACAATCATGAAACCACAACTTAATTTCAGTATAAGCTGCCAAAGTAGTGGTCTTGTCTCCAATTCCCGCCTCCTCACTCCATATGCCCTCCAATTCCATAGGGACAGAACTAAGGCTTTTATTGCTAGGAAATACGGAAAATACGATTTTTAACTTCAGTCTGCTAATTTTTGGTTCACTGCCCAGCCCCACAAAAACCTCTAGATATTAGCAGAGATACATGAACAAGTGGCCAGCGACCCAACACTCCCATTGAGAAAGTAGCATGCCTTCACAGTTGTTGGACCAAGTAAGTATTAGATCACCATTTCCACTGGCTCCACAAATATTTACTAACAGAACAGCTATTTTAAATACCTTGTCAGATAGGACTTTCTCAAGCAATGAAATCACCACCATTTAAAAAGCTTGTATTTTGAAAGTCAGTTGTATTAAACAAGACAGAACTAATTCCTTCCTAGGAAAATCCAATAAAACTACAAGACAAAAGAAATAAGAAGACCTTCAAACTAGTTAAAGTACTTAGATGTCAAAATTATTTGTGGTATCTCTAGAATATTTACCTTTCGAATGAAAAGAAATGAGACAGTCACATAAAGGCCAGTTTTCTACTGGCTCATTCAAAATAACATCCTCTTCAAATATCACCACAGTTATGTACTTAAACATGGAGAGGCGTTCAAGAATTTCTTTCATTGGTTTGGACTTAGACTTCTTAGCCATTGAACAAATCCCAACTGCGATTTGTCTTTCTGGTGGCTGAAGCGGGGGGGAAAAAGGCAATTATTATTTTTATGTTTTCCCAGAACACAACAGGGTTTTAGCAACACAATACTAGAGCAGATATTTTGTGTTAAAATTCATGCACTACCTTTAATTTAGTTTTTAGTGAGGTAAATTGCTAGCAGGTAACAGGATGCAGCATGACAGCACACCACACTGCATCCTGATGGAAAATGCCTCAAAAAATGAAACAGTTCAATAGCTCTGCACTACTTTTTTGTGAGTATCATATCAAGAACAAATATACAGGATCAAAATGAAGTCAGAAATGTCAAATCTAAATGAAATCATACTTAAGGCTTACTCTGAAATAAACTAGCAGTTAATTTTTAAAATAATTTTTCTACATCAACTTAGTGGTCATAAGGCTTCTCATCTTACTACCCAATATTACAAGTCAACTGTGAAAAACAAAACTAGTAAACCAAAAAATACTGTTCCAGATTTCTGAGCTATTTTGTGCATAGACAGTCTCACTTTTCTTCTGTATACACTATATTTTCTTTCATGCTACAAGCCTTTAAAAATTTCTTTCCCACAGTGGTATTCCTAAGTGCAACAGCCAAACTACTCCTCTGTTTAAAAATAAATAAAAGAAAAAAAAACCAGAAGAAAAACCCAGAGCAATCCTGTATTTCAACTTACTGTCTTTTAAAACATAGCAAATTACCTTCCCTTGCTAAAATACACTGGCTGAATTGAGCTGAGCTGCTAATTTTGCACTACTTCTCTGCATTTCCATGTTATTTTTAATCATGGTGAAGTGTTTTATTAACACTTCCTTTCATTTAAATTTCTTAGACATGCTTGCAAACAGTGCAAATTTAATCTGACTATTCCCTAAACTGGAATGTTACAAACGAAAAGTACAGCAAAATACAGCTAAAAAATATGACAACTCATGCATAATAAAATTAAGAGTTTGTCTCAAACAATCTAAAAATTAGTAAGCACAGCACTAAAATACAAGTCGGAACACTGCAAGGAAAATCAACTAAGGTATAATTTAAGAGTGATGTAGCATGCACTTTCCATACACCAAGACAAGAAGAATGAAAACATGTCAGATCTTAACGAAAACAACGGTAATATAAAAAAAGAAATGTTGAGTCTGTTCAAATGGAAAAATCAGAATTTAACTCTGCAGCAGTTGACAACACACACAAAAGAAAACCTCTCAATCATTTTTTTGCTATTAATTACCCAAATAAATGAAATGAAGGCTTCTGCCACCAAGTTCATTCCCAGAATCCAAATTAGAGTCTGCAAAGCTGGCATGTCAAACCTCAGCTGTCCTGAAACTCTGTGTTAAGGTCAAGCACGTCTACTTCAAAGTTCAAGGTATACTTACTTTTCAGGTGTGCTGCATTTCCAAACACAGCTGACAGATCATTCTCAATATGAACAATTTCCCAGTTCAGAACACATTTCAGTATTAGACTTTTGTGAACAAATGCCATTTCAAAGTAAAATAATGCTAGAGAATATACAGAATAGTAACAAACATGCCCCTACAGTACATACAGAGTCATACTCTTCCTCCTCTTCTTCCCCATGGTCATAGAAGTGTTCGTAATCTGTAGATCTGGCTGAGTCCAGTAATTCTTCTCCATCTTCTCCACCCACAAAGAATCTAGGAGGATCACTCTCTGTTGCGCTAACAGACATGGTTACAAGATCTATAGAGATCTATGTAGAAACTGCAGCCACTTTGGCAGCTGAGATACCGGGCATGTTTCCCGCTGACTCGGGAACACAAAAGTCCCCTGCTCTTTGATTTTGCTTGTGCGGTGTTGCCACTGTGATGACGCTGTCTGCCAGACACTGTTTAACTGGTATCATCTGCTCATTATTGGTTTGACTTGCTGCTCCAAGGAACCCACAATAGGTTACTGCTTCCCTGAGATAATACAACAATTTTTTAACCTAAAAGAAATATCCAGACAAACAAACAACAAAAAGAAAAAACACACTTGATAAAGGTACATAAAAACAAACACTTCTCACTTACAAAAAGCATTTGGTCATTTACATACCTCTGAGCAAAGCATCAGAAATAAAGCCACGTACACTACACACAGTCTACACTTTTACATACATATTTAGAGCAGGGGGAATAATTTAAAGATATTTTCAAACTACCGATGGAGACGTTTTTAAAATTAACAATATAACTCACAAAAGTAAAAACTGTCCAATATATTTTTTTCCTAACTTAAGAAGGGTAAAGTGCAGAGTATATCTTTTACATGAAAAATAAACCAACAAAAATGTTCTCCAATATTTGTGATGTTTAACCAACCATGCCTGTCATCAGATCTTTTTTCCCCAAAAGTTTCCTGATCAAATGGCAATGGTAAACAAAAATGTTAGTGGAAAGTATTAAGCCTCCATTAGGACTATTCTTAAAAAGAAACCTATTCTTTCAAAAACTGAGTCTTCAGTCTGAAAGCAGACTATATGTGCTAGCTTGATGTTTGCTTATTTATTTTCAACAAAACACTGCTTTATTTTCACACTGAAAAATTAATATATACAGAGATGTACACTAGCACTGCCTTCTGCAAAAACTATTAAGCACTAGTGTACTTAGCGAACATGTTGTACCCTTTTAACCAGCCATGTGAAAATAAAATCTCAGCCAAATACTATATACAGAATGAGAGACTCAGAGCCCTAGGACGGGGGCAACTAGGTAACTGTTCTTGATATAAATCATTCATGGCTTTATACCATTAATTATAATCCATTATTACTACCTAGAAAACGAATAAGCAGTTACTTGTTTAAAAGCTCATCTGATCAAACACTTTAGGTTGTTTATTAGTCAGATAATTACGTAAGTGCCATTCAGCAATGATGTCTCAGCAGAACTGAATTTGTCTTTAAACATCTGTCAAAATTACTTTGGCTGTTCTATGAACAAAGTGAAGCAATAGTAAATTCCCAATGGTGATCAACCATTCATCTTCCTGTGAAAGAGGGTGGTAAATAGAGCAAAAGTTACCCAGGAATAATCTGTCCTAAGTTCGAGAGCAATAGGCCAAGCGTGGGCAAACAATACAGCTGTTGCAGATCCAGAAGCTGAATCTGAAGCCCAAACAACAGATCCTGGAGTGACAGCAGGGGATTAAAAAGATTCATTTCTTAAACATATCTGTTATGTATCTGCTCTCCTTCAATTCCACTGATGAAAAATTACTTTCCATTCTAATGTGAAACGGCAGCCATTAGTCCTTCAAGCAGCAAGAACAAAATGAAACTTCAAACACCTAATTCATCTTGCTCCCGTGAGAGTTAGAAATTAGGTACTGAGATAAATCAATCCTGTTTATGACATGGTGAATAAAGCGAGTTTTCCAAATCCTATTTCTAGCAAGCTTCAGAAATGCAGAGGTTAGTGCCAACGTATGTCCAACCCTTACCATCCTGTGAGTCTGTGATATCCTGGCAACTAATACAGAATTTTGAAATGGTGCTAAAGACAAAAAAGACCCCCAAAAACTGGTAAAGCCTGAAAACAAAGTTTAACAGTTACTCTTGCATCAGCTTCCCCTCCCGTCACCCAAATTCTGGAAACATCTTTTTGAAACCTAAAGTTTTCTCACAAAGAAGAAAAAGCAACCACTTGAAGCAGATAAGCAGGAGGCCATCAAAAGAGGGTTTTTAACATTTCTTCCCGCTACCTATTCCTGTAGTGCACTTTGTGAGAGTAGCAGAAGTTTCGAAGTATGCATGCAGTTAATGACAAGTTATTTCATTAAAATCTCTGGCACTACCTGAGTCTCTCTAACCCAAAGTGACTACTTCTCAAAGCAAGTAGAAACCATAAAAATAAAGACTGAAGTGAAAGCACAACTTACTCGTCTACAAATGACAGAAAGATGTAATCTGACAAGCTTAATTCCCTAACAAACCGAACTGAAACTTACTGTTTTTCCACCTTCCTAACTCAAGAATCTGGAGAGTGTTGGTGTTATTGGTGGCAAGTAGACCCGTCAAGTGGAGCTTCACCTGCAGAAAACAGACTTTGAACAGTCACACAGTCTGCTTGGGGTTAACAGATTATTTTCTGCAAAGTTTACTATGTTGTTCACGCGTCTGAAGATGGATGAATCACTAGATCATTACACCATCCTGGACTCACTGGGCCCCAAAGTTTTCAGACAGTTTGTAAAAATAAGACCAAAGACACAGGATCAAGAAAAGATACTGACACTTTTCAGGCTTGTAAACTACTGCATGGACTCATTGAATTGCATATAAATTAGTATTCTGACTGCTGATGGCTACCAGCTTATCTCCCAGACAGCAGATGCTGTAAGCTACTGTCACTAGCATAAATTTGAGGCAGGATATAATGAATAATTTTTTTTTTTTTTAATAAATTCTTTCAGAGATGGCAATTAAAATTGTTTTCCTCCAAATGCTTTGGCTACTATAAAAATTGAGGAATCCCCTTCTTTCTTGTGGTGTGTGAAATAAAGAGTCCAAGAAAAGAGACATAGAAAGAAAAATATGAAAGTAAGTGACTGCAACTACAGCGAACAATTTACACAAGTCTCCTAAAAATATCTATAGCTATCTGACATCAAAAATGCAGTATAAGACCATGCTTGGATAAAAACATGTTTCTCAAGTTGTACACCAAGAAGAAATAATAATGGCAAAGCAAGAAGATGGAGCTGTCTTCCTGCCCCAGAAGTACTGTCAGTGCTCATGGGAGAAATTTCTAACACACAGTGCCCTATGCAGAATTCCATCTTGCTGCCCCTGGAGCAGAGAAGAGTCTTCCCAGTACCATTTTTCTGTATTGAGAAGTGAACAGCAGTGGCAATGCAGGGGCAGAAACACTCTATGTTAGATTCTCTTGTGCTTGGTGCATGAGCATAAGCCTCACCAGACAGTGAAGATCAGAAGATTACATGCATGCCTCAATCATGGAAGGCTGCAATGTAAGCAAGACAAAACCCAAAGCTTCGTGTTGGAATATACACTGACCCATTTCCAAAGAGCCAACATCAGGAATATCCAGGCAACAATCTCCTACCATGCCATGACCTTTCCAGGTAAAATTAATTGAACTCAAACATTAGCTGTTACACAAGGCTTCTGTTTTACAGCTTACAGTCAAAAAAAATCTCAGCTAATTTTGAAGAACACAATTTAACCAACAATGTTGTTTTTTGAAGGACTTCCTACCAAATGTTCTGATTTGCCTGTTCATTCCACCTGTCCTAAAACTTCCTATCCATGACCACCTCATCATATATCTTGCCCCCCCCCCCAAAAAAAAAAGGAAAAGGAAAAAAAGAAGAAAATGTTTAAAGAACACAGTAAATCTGCTCATTTTACATTCTCATCTTAAAATAAACTCATCTCAGTTTTTCTCCAAGTTAGATGGCGCTAAAATAGTACACTGCAAAGGAGACATAAAAATCCTTAAGTTTAACTGCTATCACTTACTAGTGGGAAGGTATACAAAATAACATTCTAAATATATGACACACAGACAAACTTAACATTAGCCTACAAATAGGGCTGTATTTGAATCCCAATTTGATAGCCTGCTAAGCACTCTGAGTCCAGTGTTTGCTCCAGCAGTGCACTACAGCCTTTTTTTCTAACAGAACATTTCTCCACTTCCACAAGCGTATTCTAAAAGAATTCCACAAGTTCTAAGAGAATAAGCCAAAACATAGTCCTCATTAAGTGTTAACAGATACTCCCACAAATAGTTTTCCTGTCCCTGTTCCACATGTTTCAGCAGCTCAGGAATCCAACCCTGGTGTTTCCCGTAACTGTCAGCAGCAAATCAGCTCAACATAGCAGCACTGGTCTGAACAGCCATGTAAAAGAGGCTCAGAGTTTTAACAGCTACGTTACAGATAGTGATAAAATCACACACGGCTCCTGTATAAAGACAAGCATTTCACCAGGTTTTCTTTTGTGTTGCTACAGCTATCAGAAGAACAAATATACACTGCCTCTACTGCACTCTAATGGAAACTAATGGAACGCAACTAGAATAAAAATGCTTCTCATCTGTTATCTCAAGAAAAAAGCCAACACATTATACATTAAATAGCTATAAAACACTTCTAAATGATGAACCATTCAGGAAAACAACTTTTGCAAATGCCTTTATAACAAAAGAACTACAAAACCCTTTGTGACATTTACATTGTGGAATTTTAACAAGCAGGTAACTGCACAAGAAGCCTAAGTGGTGCTCATCTGTTACATCGTTCCATACATATAAATCCATAACAATAACAAAACAGCCCACTCCCCCGCACACCTCTCCCCATATTGCTCCTTTTAAAGTCTCTGTTCTTACCACTGTAGGCATATTCAAACTGTATCCATTACCAGCTTCCTCCAATTCAATTTAAATAGCTAAAACCCAAACATTTTTAATAGCAATTTTTCAGATAGTCTCAGTAAAATGACAAAAAGCTTTCAACATCTTCCTGCTAGAACTGCTATACCTAACATTTTCATTAACAGTGCATTTAACAGCAAAAATGTTTGCCTCTCCTGCTGAGGCATTTTACCTGTTTTAAAATTCCAATTCTGCAACATGATTTATGGTGTAACAAACCACCAAAGACAGCAAGTTTGTTGGGTTGCTGGTGGAGCAGAAAGTATGGTGAGGGGGCAAGGGGGAAGCAGAGGGGAGATGGGAAGAAGAAAGAACTGGTGGAGTCTGAACTCCAAGAGAGCCGACAGCAGCGACTGCCATCCCAAGTGCCCTGCATGGATGTGTAACACCTTTCTACAGATGATTCAAAGAAACTTGGTAATATTGCAGATTTAAATGTGAGACTGTAGAACTACTAACAAGGCCCATGCTCAAGAACAGCATTTCCTCAGGTCTGACAGGTGACCAGGAAGAAAAAGGACAGGCAGAAGGCAGGAAGGAGAGGGTGTCAAGACACAGAAGCTGCTGAAGGCAACACTGTGAGCAAACCCTACGTGACTTGTTTATTGCTGTACCTTACACAGCAAAAGATGTATTTCCTCTCCAATTTACTTAAGTATTCAAAGTCATATATCCTCTCCAATTTACTTAAGTATTCAAACTCAGCTATGCCACACACTAATATAAAACATTAATATTTACCCACAGACACTGCTGTGTTCTATCATACCTCCTGTGCGGTGGTGAGTAGCAGCTGTCAGCCCGTTATGGAGATGGACTGAACCTAAAAAAAGATGTAGAGCAGTTCTATCCCAATATCCCACAATCACAAAGAATACTGCACAGCAAGAAAAACCCCCCAAACAACCAAATGGAACAATAATCACAGAAAATACAAAGGGGTATAAAGGCTTCCAGTAATTACTGGAAATTATGAGGTCCAGTGGTGTAACAGGCTGATTATGAAACATGAAACTGAGAAAAGTCTTTAGTTCTCATGAAATACAAACTTCAACAACAGCCTCATGAAGTTTATCACTTTTGTCTGTAACTCTGTAACTCAGCTCTGCTCAATAACACGAGGCTAGGAATTGTGCTGATGTACAAAAGAACGGAGAGGAAAAGAAAAAAAGGTAGCAAAGGAACAAGATGCGATTGTAAAGGCTACACTAGACGGCGTTACAGGAACTAAGTCATCTGCTACGATCTTGCATTAAACCATCATCAAGCTCCAGATTTCACAATATGCTGACATCTTCCCCCTACGCATTATACAAGCTCTTCCAAAGTTTCTTTTTCATTCTGTAAGTATTTTCACAGGAAACCAGATACAAGGATGCTCTTCCCTCCCCCAGATCAAGATAGGCAATCTGCCAAGTATCAGAAGAAGGCAGGGAAGACCACTGCACATTCCCCCCTCCACTGGGAAGGCAGTGTGGCATGGGCAAAAAGTGGTAGGCACCTACACAGGGATTCAATAAAATAAAAACCACCCTTCTCTCTCTCCCTCTACTCCATTCAAAAGCAGCTGACTTTATCTGCTCCAACCATGAGGCTGCAACCCACTCACTCTCCTCCCAGACTCTCCTAGACTCCACCATGACTTGGTCCACTAGACTCCAGCCCAGGGACAGCCACGTTTTTACTACCTTCCTCTCCCTACACCAGGAACCCTGCACCTTTTTGTCCCGTTTAGACTCCCAGTCCAGTGTGTCACCACTACTAAGCTCTACCTGCTAGTCCCAGTCTCCTCCATTACAGGCCATTGCCTGGGTAGGGCAGTCTCCCAAATCTGTCAGGAAGTGCTGACATGACAAGAACCTTGCAGAAGAAAAGATGAAGAGTAGCCTTTATTTGTTGCTTTGAGCCAGCTGCTTGGTTGTGCCTACAAGCCAAGCACAGCTCTCAGACTGTCAGATGAAGAGCTGTAATCTATGCTAAATGACATCCGTGAACACACTAAGTTTTTTCTGTTTGCAGGAACACTGCAAATATTTTGTACAGTGTTCCAAAAGCATTACTATGTAGTACTTTATGCACTACTCCAAATTTACAAAATTACAGTCGCTCCCATTTCAAAACAGACTACTCACCTTTCAGTTTCACCCTACTGAAAACTGAAGAAACACTCTGAAGAACAAAGAGGACCTGTGAGACTTCCCTGCCGGGTAAATGCTTGTACTGGGTTTACGTGGCAAGGCTTTGGTCGCAGGGGGGCTGCAAGGGTGGCTTCTGTGAGAAGACACCAGAAGCTGCTCCCATGTTGGACAGAGCCAGTTTCAGCTGGCTCCAAGATGGACCTGATGCTGCCCAAAGCTGAGCCCATCGCTGGTGGTGCCTCCATGATAACATATTTCAGAAAGGGTAAAAACCACTCTCTCCACTGGGAGAGAGGAGTGAGAAAATGTGAAACAGCCCTGCAGACAGCAAGGTCAGTGAAGGAGGGGAAGAGGTGCTCCAAGCCCCAGAGCAGAGACTCCCCTCCAGCCCATGAAGAAGACCATGGTGAAGCAGGCTGTCCCCCTGCAGCCCATGCAGGTCCACAGTGGAGCAGATATCCACCTGCAGTCTGGGGATGATGCCAGGCCAGAGCAGGTGGATGTAGGCTGAAGGAAGCCCACAGAGAGCCTCCGCTGAAGCTCCTGGCAGGAGCTGCAGCCCCTGGTGAGGACCCCATGCAGGAGCAGGTTTGCTGGCAGGACTTGTGACCCTGCGGGGACCGACACTGGAATGAGGGAAGAGCATGAAGAGGAAGAAGTAGCAGAGACAAAGTGTTATGAACTGACGATAGTCCCCATTCCCCATCCTCCTGCACTGCTTAAGGGGATGAGGTAGAAAACCTGGGAGTGAAGTTGACCCTGGGAAGAATGGAGGGGTGGGGAAAAGGTGTTTGTAGATTTTTTTTTCTTATTTCTCATTATCCTACTCTATTAAACTTGAAATAAATTAAATTAATTTCCCCAAACCGAGTCTGTTTTGCCCATGATGGTAGGTGGTGATAAGCATGTTGTCATACTTTCTCCTCCTGCCCCGTTGATGGAGTGATAGAGTGGCTTTGTAGGCACCTGGTGGCCAGCCAAGATGAACCCACTTCAGTGCTCCAAATGTGTTTCCTGGGCAAAAAACTATTGCACTCTGTCTTCAGCAGTGAAGTATTTTACAGGTGCTTTTACCCACATTTTTTTCAGCTTAGTGGTTAGGACATTTTTCTGATAAGCAGAAAACAGGGACTTGAAACTATTGAGAGAGGAGGGAACGGAAACAATATTTGTTCCGTTCCATTCAACTGTTCTGACCATTAGGCTACCATAACCCAATTTCGCTTTCCACATACACCACTAGTTTTCTTTAAAGGATGACACTGGGTTTCTTTTTACAGGAGGTGGCTTGGTGCTCTGCATTCCAAGCAGAAGGAAGGTACTTAAAGTGCAAAATCTTACCAGTGAGACGTCTACGCTCTCAAGCAACAGGAGTCCAGAAATAACCACCTTACTGGCATTTCCCACTGGAAAGAACTCCCGTCACTGTAACTTACAGCGGGACTTACTTTTCTTGAAATGCTATATAGCTAGGCTAGCCAACTAACTGCAGTTGCCTAAATCTTCTGCTGGGGACTGCAACTATTTTCCAACAACTGTGCCACTTTAATGTTTGTGCCTAAAGTAGGATTCCAATCTGACCCTCCATATTACACTAGCTTAGCCCAGGGGACCAAAAATTTAAGAAAACTGGTACCATGCCATGTGAACCAGGACTCTGCTAAGAAGCCAGCTTTGCAGGGAGGAAAGACGTGCCTTTTAGGTTGTTGATGAGTGAGATTTCTAGTCTTAAAGCACGACTGTTACAGTTTTCAAATAGTAATTTCCTGGCTGATTTCCCCATGTTTGCTTTCTTTCGTAGTAATTATACAGTTAATTAAGCAAAGTATTTCCAGTCATTTAGAGTTACCAAACTTAAAGCAAAATAGCTTTGCAATGCAAGTATCTCAATCTTCCCCTTACCAAATAATTTGCTCGCAGAACTTATTTTTCCCCAATATCTCACCAGCAGAAATGTGACTTTTCAGAACATGTAGTGACATCTGCTAACCCTCTTGAGTTTTAGCCCCAACCACTGCACTACCACAGGGCATCTTTCAACTCTTTAGCAGTCATAGAGTATAAATTGCAAGATGAACCATTACCATCCTTCAACAGAAGTGTCAGAACAGCCTTAAAAGTCTAGAAAAACCTGTCTGGTATCACTGTCTTCCCTTCAAGACAGAAAGGCAGTGTCTTTTTGAACTGGCAAACAACTACTACAAGCTGACATCTGGCACGTGTTACAAATGTCTCCTGTACAGCCACATAACAGATAACCTTCACATTCATTAACCTCCAAGCTCCTTTCTAAATCAAACCTTGTCAAACGCATCACACAAAGATATTTGTGTCTGTGGCAAGCACAAATATTTCAAGAAAGTCTGGCTTCCGAACTTTTAGAGATCCCACTCAAAAGGTGTCAAAACAGCTTCTCCGAATTCTCACACAGAACTTTTTACTTCAGTTTTGTAGAGACGAGGAAGTTTTTGCAGAAAATTCCGTACCAAAGTTCATTAGGCTCAGCCTCTGGAGGCCTGATCTGTTCCAAGCACAACTGCCAGGAGGACGAAACTCTCTTCCACCGAAAGAATCAGCCAACTGAGACAAGCCAACCAGTATAAAAATTCATATTTCTCACATGTTGAACCATAAAAGGGGCATATTACATCAGTCAAATTCTTGTGCCCAAACCAGTTATGCACAGCAAGAATAGTTCTGTTATTGGTTGAAACAAAACTTGCTGAAAGTGGTAGGTTTAGCTGTCTCTCATCATTTACAACCATGTACGTTTTCACCAAAACACAGGGAGATTCCATGGGAATTTAGATACCACAGGC